ATGGGTCCGCTCGTGTCTTTTCTACATCGACGGTGTGAGATCTGGGGCCGTATCAACAGAATGAAGGAACTGACTCAGAAGAGATAAGTTCCTGGAAAAAGAAAACAGGCCGTGAGATGCTGTGCGTCAACCGAAGGCAAGTGAGGGAGACGTCCGTGGGTATTCAAGTAAGAGTACTGAAAGACGATGTGTGCCAAATAGTCTCATCGAGAATCGGCGAAATGCCGTGGCGTGGCCCATCCCGGCAATCGAATTGGAGTAAGAAACATCTGCAGGTGCAAAGCATGAAGAAGATCCAAAAGCCTCCAGAACGACAAGGGCTCACCGGTACCATCCTCAACACTTCCTGGAAATTCCATCTCATCCTGGCGCCAAGGCATTAGACGTCGCCGACAAGCACAATGACTTTCATCGTATGGGGTCGTAGACAACGACAACGACATACTTGCAGCTACAGTACAAGAGTTACATCAGTAGATGGCCTGAGATGCTTATTTTTCTCGAACTCGCCTGTAGTTCTCAGCCATCCCCGCTGGCATCATTACCATTACGAGGCACTTGGAATATTACACGTCGCATCTGAGTCCATGGCAAATCATAGCCAGAAGATATATGAGAACAGGAGAAGTGCAGCAAGTACGCGAGATGGACCCTTGAGGCGGGAGCGCGGTAAAGGTAGGAAAGGAAGAAAGGAAGCCCCAGGTTGGAACCCGCAATTACGGCGGCTGTACCCCGGACACTGAGCGCACGGGCCCGCGACGCGTCTTCGTGGGAACGACGAATGCGGAGTTTCAAATTTCTTTCTTCCTTTGCGTGAAGGGTAGGCGCTTGCCGTTTATAAGCATTTGGCATCATGGTCCGATTTCCTGACCCTTTGCTTCTAACGAGAGGTCATGGCCGCTAGATGCGTCCTTTGTTCCTTGCGATATTCCTTCAAGGTGATCATTCTCTGCTCACAGAATAAATTTTAGGTTCTATTCCTCCTTGCTGTTTGCTTGTGCGAACTCGAGAAGCCGAGAAACGCCCGTCAAACTGCCGATTATCCACTAATGTATACCTCAACTGCGAGCCGGTGATGCCGCGTAGACCACGTATAGCGCTGCCTCCGACTGTGCTTCAATTTTGTCTCCTTCTGTGCAGGAACGGACTCCTAGATATTGGCAGGACGATACCATCACCTGCCGTTCCACCGCATCACTATACGGTCTGGCGGCATCAGCTTTACCAACAAAGAACTCGTCAGGTGCGTAGCTTATCATGATTATAGGACCATTTCTAACACGAGACGTATAGCCACTATTCCACGCTCGAAAGCACTTCACTTACAGTTCTCAAAGTCGTTATCTAGTGACGACGTTTCCGGATCGCCGGGCCAAATTCTGTTTCCCGCATGATTCTAGACTGAAGGACTACATGCAGCAGAGCAGGATGGACGCAAGAGGACGAATGGGCGTCTAATTGAGAGTTTAATGTTATGGCCGCCTACGAATACACTGCAACGGATACGGGAGGGCGTGCAACGATCGACAAGAGAGCGTTTTATGAAGGATGCCAATCGGCGGACGTAGAGTCAGAAAGCCGACAGGTAAGCATATCGGTTTTTTGCTATCCGAGCTTTACTTACCGCCTTCGCTCGCAGAATACATCCAATGACGAAGAAATACAATCACAGCAGAAAACATTGCGACTTTGAGAAAGCGATAGGAAGAGAAGGCCTCAAATGCGTAGATGAGATCTTTCGCCACTTCATGCAGGAAATCGTCCGAGAGGGAGTAAATGGATGGAATACGAAGTTTTTGAACGCTCCATGGTGTGACTTTCTTCTCTACCGTCTGATCCTTTTCTCACTATCTCACTAGATGAAGACATGATAATGGAGCGACATCCATGCTGTGGTTCAGCGATCAGAAATGGTACCACGGCTCCAACGGGAATATCGAGTTTGAGTGCGTCACCGGGTCCCTCCTTCTTCACGTAAATCTAACTGTGACATCGAAGTATGTATCCTAGGACTCCGTCGTCCAAAAGCTTCCGCTAATAACCACGAAGGCTTCAATTCAAGCTTGCATCATGCACCTACCCTTCCTGCGGTGGATATTCAGACATAGAGCTTCGACGGCTTGGCTTCCGGCAACACGTCGCTGGTAGGTACCGGCATCATCAACATCATCAGTTAGCGTCGAACACGGTTCCAGTCGGCGGGCAACACGAGGGCGACTATCTTCTATCTATACTTGACTTGCTACGACTTGGGGTTCATTTATTGTACTTATACCTATACCTGCGAGGCTTTTAATCGTAGAACCGTTCACTGTACCCTTTCTCATAATTCATAAATTCAGCCTTCCCAAACATGAGTCCTGCCCATCCGCGTCCTGGCACGCACTAACGCCATACTAGACTAGCTATAAAATTCCCACATCTACAGAACGGTTCGACTCCGTTCAATGGTAATCAGACAGAGGTGTTGTTGTCTTTTGGGTTTCCGTTCGTCCTTCGGGGTGACGACCAGTGAGCCACAAATCAGGACTAGAAAGGATCCGGTTTTACCTGTATTTATCGGTGTACAGCGAATTGAGATGAAACGACGTAACAAAATCAGCGTCGAACATATTTGGGATAGGTTCTGTCATGAGGACGTAGAAGGTGCGTGCGCTCTTCTCTCATTCGTCCCTCCCCATTTTCTCACGGTGGCACGGTTCAAGGTGTAATAATACACGTCAGGGTTCGATTCCGTATGTCCGCATCATTGTAAAAAAAACGCATTTTTTGAACTCTTTACACCTTCCTGAGCGAAGTTTCGTTCGAAAGAGAATGGTTCCTACTATGACGAGGCATTATAGATGATCGGGAAACCATCTAGTAATGCTGTGGTTCGAGTCCACTCGGATTATTTTCGAAATGAAGTATATTTTTCTCCTTCATCCTGGCAGCTGCGCCTTAAACCTTTTATGGGATATAGAATTGGTTAGTAAATAAGGAAACGCACTCTTGCCTCACGTTGATAATGCATGCGCTATCCGATGGTATGCTTAACTCTGATGTCTGAGCTCTGCATGCCAAAGTAGGTCAAGTGCGCAATGGGAAGTTGAGCATGGTTCGATTCCGTGTGTCAGCTTATATATGTTGCATTAATATACGCTTTTATCAGTTTTCATTCTAGAGGATGTTGCCTACAGCGTTTCAGAGATACTGATTCATTAATTAATACACCATTGTAGATCAGCTGGATGCTTGGATCTAGATACTTTGTTCGAGTCCGAGGGATGGTACTGCGTGAGGTATGATGCACAAATATTTTTGCCAGGTCCCATTGTTTGAAAGCCTATTATCGAAATTTGGTCATATTAGCTTCCGAGTCATTTTGTGAAGACAGAGACGCTGATACATATCACCATTTCTTAGGCAATTCACTCCTTGCGTAGTTTCGGTCGTCGGAAGACGAATTGTACCCCCATGCATCATTGAGGCCATTCTTGAAAGGGTCTGCTATGCGTATCCGTTACTTCGCTAAACGTCTACCGAAGGCTTTCACATCCCAAGATGCATTCTCCTAGGCTTGCGTGCAGGACCTAGGTCAGTCGGGAGCATTGACACTATGCTTGTCATTGATTTTCCATGATTTCCCCTTCAAACGGAATAGCGGTTAGAACTCATCCATTATCAACGACTGCGATGGGAGGAGAGAGCATATTTTTTTCTTCAGGTTGTGAGAGCCACCTCGTTTCTCTTTGACATTTCTTTTTACGAAGGTTCACTGTGGAAATACTTCCTCTAGATTCATTTAGAAGGAAGTCGGGTCTCGGTGCAAATATGGATATCTAACAGGTACTCAATTTGATTGCCTGGTGACGCATGACGTCAATATAAAATGAAGAAATAACAAAAACTGGTCCCAGTGAAAAGCAGTATAAGTACGTTGGGACCAATCCGTTCGAAGAAAGCTGGTCCATCTCCAACTCTGATTTTGAACAGCCCCATCACCCCAACCACACACTTCACTGATGGCCACCGGTAAATCACCTTCACATGATCCTTCGACTAATTGAACACCTACTGTATAGGTAGTACTAGATCATGCGCAGATGGAAGACAGTCCTCTGTTTTATGTTGATCTAGAAGAGAGGATATCCTCCTATCCTTGTCTTTTTTCAATGAACTTTGGAGTCGATTTTGGGTGAGAAGTTATCTGGGGATGTCCCTCTAAAGCCAATTCACATACGATGGAATCGTTACAGAATCCATCTGTGTCTACAATAGTCGCTCAAGGAAGAGATCCTTAGCATAAATGACTTAAGAATTTAGCATGCTTTAATATAGTTTCAGGGGAGTTGACATAAGTGCATACGTATTTGCGTGCATTGTAAGTCCCATCGGAATATCAAGGTTATTGACAATCAGTTTCTTTGAATGATGTAGCTGTAGGGGCTCGTAGGGTGCTGCCTTGTCGGTCTTCAAGTGTGAATGGAAAGCCCTAATGAATAATACGTTAGTGCAAACTTTGTGCTCGTCAAGATGGATAACTAGCTTATACAGAATTCTTCACCTCGGCGTATCCTTCAGCATAATTGACCTTAGACCTCCGGAAAACGTCTCAGACCCGGCAATAGACCTTGGTCTGTCCGATGTCTGTGATCCACCCTTCTCGATTATTTCAATAGTGGCCTACAATCGAATGTCGGCCTCACAGTATGGAGAACAGACGACGAGCCCATATCATATCGACCAACAACAATGTACACCTTTCCAAAACGAGTTAGCGAATAAACCGGACCACTCCTTTGTCCATTCTTCGTACTTCAAAAAGGCCCTTCGCAAATAAACTGATGGCAGAAAACATGGCTACGAACGACCCACCGCTTAGTCGGAATCTTATTCCCGAATAGCCAATGACCAGGCGGACCTGGTAGTAGTAACTTTGACCGATAATAGGAGTGTATGAATACAGCAAAAAAAGTAGCAAGGATGTAAACAAACAAATCAAACAGCTAGGATATCGTGGTAACCGAAAGAGAAATAAGGTAGACACCGTGGACAATGCTTCGAGATGCTTCGACAAATATGGCCAACTGAAACCCGCATGACATGGTCACGCTGGCTGAACTTCAATAGATACGGAAGAAACATCTAACAGATTACGGCACTGGAATGCATGAAAACTGCATTGAATATAATTAGTACCGGCCTTACTCAGCTAAATGCCTGATAAGACGTGCGTTGTGCTCCAGTCTGCCTTCAGTACATGTTCCGTGGGAACTATACATGAGTTTATGGTCGATAAGTCTCTTGAGTCTCCCACTTCGCACAGCTTGGTTTCTCAGTGAACGACGAGGCTGGGGGTCAGTTTTGGCATTTCAGTTTACTCGACGTGAGGGGTTTGTATTCCTGGAATCTAGAAAATCCCGCTGAACTCCGTCTTTGATATCATCATTTGCCTTATCCTAAAGCTACGGTTCCATATTTCCATCCCTGATTTCCCGTCATTCAGTCGACCATCAACGACCTAACCCAAGCCTCTTTCTCTTTCCCCAACCGCAGATCAAAGCATACCCCAAAACTTCCAGGATGCATTCCAATTCCATCAGCAAACGCCATCGAGTCGATCTTCTCAGTCGCAACAATATTAAAAGCCCATAAAAGAAGTGCCGTATTAATGAACAGCGACCTTTTCACCAACAATAAAATAAACACCCAGAAGAAAATAGAAATAAAGGACGTTCACCTATTCGCGACGCGTGATCCCGGACAAGCTCTGCAGACATCCACGTCAGCAATTCATAAAGCCTTAGACGTACAAGAAATCTTGCCTCCGACCAAATCCAAAAACGAATTGCCTGATGTCGCTCCTCAATTTACCGTCAAGGATCCACCTTTGAGGATCAAACACTTCGGGGTTCGGAAAGACATCAGAAGTATGGAATATGGACCTATAATCATTTTGAACGAGGGGTGTTCAAAGTTACAGGAATACAGACATACCAAGGCGATGCGATAATAGTAGCTCCTTTGGGAATCACATAGCATTGCTGTTTTAAAGCATGCTTATGAGACGAAGCCATGGAACGAAAAGAACACTAACCCAGATGAAATCCTGAGAAGCGGCATGTGCAATTCCTAATATATGTGCAGCTCGTCATCGGCAGATAAGCCATGGAATACCAACCAATAGGGAACAACGGTCGCCTTTTCGAAGATTCTATAAGTGGACGCATATCACTTTCGAGAAAAACATACTCACCACCTAAAACATTCGAAAACAAACGCCATAACTTGCGGGAGGTGCTCCCTATCCTCAAACGTCGGACCTACCCATTCCGTATTCAGTAAGAATGTACCTGAAGAGGCCGAATTACTAACATCGATCGCGAGGAATCACCTCATCGATTTCTCTCTGTACAACTTTAGCAGCATAAGGAAAACATGCAGCCGCCATGATAATGAAGGTTATTGCAGACGCGGTCTAGAGATTTCAGCGGTCACCAGAAAACAGGCAAAAAGAAAACAAACTGTATTCGATCCTGCCGCAAACATCGAACCGGCAAGATACGCAGATTGGTCAAATGACATCTTCTCATTACCCAAGAGATCCTTCCCAAAACAAGCTGGTACTTCTTCCCCAGCATCCTGGACAGGCACATAAGTATCTTCCAATAAAAAAAAACAGTGTTCAATGCACCGACCATCCTTATCTGAACATACCCTAAACACCGACGACACAAGGCAAGCGATTCTTGATGCCACCTCTTAAGCTCGGAAAGATACCCAGGAATCCATCGAAGAATGGGAAACGTATCCACGAGGTAGGCTCCTGGGCGATTTGTCATTCGAAGCCGGTGTCCCTCTCGAATCATTTGTTGAACATCAGGATCATCGAATGTTGTAGGTGTCATTTTCCCGTAGGTAAGGGTAAGAATCACAGATGCTGCATATCTGGTTAAGTGGATGAGCTCGATGTATACTAAGGAACGAAAGAAGTCCGTACATCTTTGTGTACTCTGTAAACCTCTTCGGATCGTCAAGGATATTAAGAATCAGTTTCTTCGCGTGACGGAGTTGCATAGGTTCATACGCCGCTGCCTTATTGGTCTTTAAGTGTGCATGAAAAGCCCTACAAACGTTACATCAAACTCCGTTTTGTGTTCACCATGGTAGATCACCAACCTATTCAAAGTTCTCCACCTCGGTGTATCATTCAGCAGGATAGACCTCAGTCCTCCCGAGAACGTCTCAGAGGCGGCAATAGCCCTTGGTCTGTCCGACGTCTGGAGACTGCCCTTCTCCATTATTTCCACAGCCGCCTACATTCAAACATCAGTCTCATAGTTTTTCGGCATAAATTACGAACACACATCGTATCGACCAACAACGATGTACACCTTTCCAAACTGAGTCAGCGAATAAACCGGGCCGTACTCCTTTGTCCATTCTTCGTACTTCAAAAAAGCCCTTCGCAAATAAACTGATGGCAGAAAACAAGGCTATTAACGACGCACCGCTTAGTGGGGATCTCATTCCCGAATAGCCAATGACCAGGCGGACCTGGTGGTAGCAACTTTGACTGATAATACGAGCGTATGAATACAGCAAGAGAAGCTGCAAGGACACAAGCAAGCAAACCGAGCAACCAGGTCATCGTAGGAACGAAAAGAGGGATGTCCCAGACACAGTTAATGCTTTAACCAATATAGGCACCCAGGTAGGCATCAGATCCCACGATGCAGTCACGATGGCTGAACGTGAATCGCGAAGCCAGAATCATTAGTCACATTGCGGTGCTGGTGCGGGTTTGAACTGTGGGTGCACTTATTGAAATGCTTCTCATCGCACAGAGAACTTAAATAAGACGCCTATTTACATGCCTGTGAGAACCATCCGCCTTAAAGTTGTGCCTTCCGATGGTGGATGAAGATTTCCCGTCGTCCATGTCGAAGAACAGGCGCTCGACGAGAAAAAAATCCCATCATCCCATCAAGGTAAAGAGCGGAATGTAGGAACCATCAAACAAGGCGGGTTGGGCTCTTTACTGTCCCTTCGTTTAATTCTCGTACCTCTTCTAGCCGTCGCGATTATTGAAAGAAGAAAACTCATCAGACTGACTTTTTCCTCACAAAATCGTATATGTTTGACTCCTGCGCACCTGGCACCTGGCATCCCTTCATCATGTCAAAACTTTATTGAATTGGTATAGTAAAAACGCGTCTCCTGTACATGGTTACGCTGGTATGCAATGATCTCGTAGTGATCCAAGACCACGCCCGCGCCATCCAGCGAATGCAGAAACATAAACATAGATACCAATAAATTACACTTCCGTCATCCCGCACTTATACCCACAGAAGACCGGTGGGACAAGTATTCTGGTGGTGGCGTTTCCTGGTTACCACGATCTACCCACAACAGGAACTGGCTCCACAGCGAGTCGTTCTACTCATGACCTCGCCTCTCACCAAACTCCATTCAGACTTGAAGACACATGCAAGCCTTTGCCGAAGAGACCCGATTTGCTCCCTGCATTCATTGCATTCCCAATTCACGGTCTATCTCGCATACACATATCTTTCGTCAAAAGTCTTCTAACGACTCAAGTCCGGGCGATGGTCCCTAAGCAATAATGGCATTCCTCTCGGTTCTACGCCCTGAGCAGGCGCTATTTAGGGCCGGACCGGACTTGTTGATGGCCGACATCTGTAATTTCAAACTTCGACCTTGTCTCTCTCACATCAACATGTTCAGTTACATCTACTACGTTCTTGTTGAGATTTCTTTATTCAGATGATCTGCGTCAGTGCTACATCTTCTTACGAGTGTTGCAAGGACTGGAAGCCTGGGCAAATATTCGTTTACTCTGGTGAGTTCAAGGTTTTACCTATCTAGCTAAACCTGTTGCTGAAGTTGATCATATAGTGATTTTTGAACAGCTTCAGCATTGCTCTTAATCCCGCCCGACGCCCATCTGGTCCACCGCACCTTGACCCTTTCGGAAACGCGTACAGGGCGTGCCCCATCCCGTCGTCCCATCAGGTCAGGTTATTCGCCGTTTCGGCGTTTTATCAGGATAGCGCTCAAGTTCAGTGACCGAGGTCGACGCAAGTCCAATCTCAAGGCCGCATCTGATACACACAAGGTTCGCCAGCAGGCTCATTTGACCATCTCAACGTTACACACCCAGTGCAAAACCCTCAGGGCCCCAATCCACGTCATTCGAACTCTCATTCCTTAATCTTGGGGCCATGATTGCAAGGATAACTGAGCGACGACAAGTCCAACCCCCAATCCTCATCCACAACGCGCCGGCGAATGACCACCCACCCGCCGAGGCCCCTCGTCACCAAAACCCGACCTGACCAGATATATGCCCTACTCCCCCAGAGCATTCTCGGATTGTCAGTCGTGAACGTCCTATCGTCCTATCATACGTCCTCCAATTGTCGCTTAGACAACCTGGCAAGTTACGTGAGTCGTCGAGGTCATTAAGGGCCAATTCTTGTGGATTCACGAGTGCTATGACTTCATGCCGTCCTGACGAGTGAGTGTATATCTCTCAAATTTTCTTATTATAAAAGCTGAAGTTTGATTAGACGCTGATCATCCTTCCTGACGGTACCCGACTCCCGTCCCATGCACCGGCGTATTGACGCACCCTCGGCTTCCTCATTGGCATCGTTCCAATGTAAATTTCCATTCTTGCCTGATATTGTCCTCAAATGGGCTGACACTCTTCATTGAAAAGTGAAGTACCACTTTCGCTTCCATTTTATTCGTCTAACGCTCCTTCAGATATCTACCGCTATTGTGTATGGGATTCTCCCGATCTTTATCATTGGTTCCATTATGGCAAGGACAGCAACCCTTGCACAATGTTCCTCAACTCGCAAGGTAGATCAGCTCCCCTTCCTTCTTCGATATGAGCCGGCGTTGTTATTTAGGGCCAGAGTAAGAGTTTGATTGCCGATCCCGGGAATTTCAATTTGGGACTCTTTCTCTCTCGCCACTCCGCACCGACCACCTCCATCAACTCCAACACCGTTATACCATGATGCGTAAAGCGTGAAGAGCTCTGAAAGTTACGTGGAACATCGTCTTGAATGCGGATCCACGAGCGTTGTTCATCAGGGTGTCGTCACGACAAACGTCGTCGGCTCTATGACCTCATCGCTAACTGCCTTCATTTTAAGGCCAAGCTGTTCGGAGGACAGGGACAGATGTTTTTGAGCTAATATCGTTCACGCTCGTGAGAGGTAGCCTATCTGGCTAAGCTCACTTCTGACGTTGATTAAATGCCGATTCTCGAGCCGTCTACTTTGCCCTTTTCTGTGCTACTTCATGCCCCTTTCTCGTCTGTAGGGTATGTTGGTACTCTTTTGGTGCTACTCCAATGCTAATTGTTACGCTTCAAGCAGGAGTGAACATGCAACGACGCGTAGACCTAATATTGCTTCGGAAAACTGGGAATCGATAGCCAAGGCTTTTGTGGGTTGATTAACAGCATTGGAAGGCCCAGCGCAGAGCTCTACTTCTCGTCAGTTTTCCCTTCTTCCAGCTGGAAGAATTTACTGATATTCCTCGTTAGGTACATGCACGGACAAGGATGTGACGACAAGTCCAATTTCCAACTCCCTCATCTACGGAGCGTATCGTGTTGTTTTCCGCTGGCAATAGTAATCCCGATTTTGGGTCCACATGTGTTCAGGACAGAGTGGTATGATAATTCCTGGTCGTACAAATCATGCCACTCGTTGTCCTAGTGCTAGGTAGATCCATGACGGCCATTCCCGTGCTTTCCGTCTCACCCAACATTGCAGGAGGCGTTCGATGCTCTTACTCCTCGTTGGAACGAAACCCGTTATTTTGAACCTTCCCCTGGGTATCGCCAGATCCGTGTCTCAGGCTGTTTATAGCACGGCAAGGTAATGCTCTTCTATGGGATTTACTCTTTATAAAGGTTAGATTGGTGCGCCTTCGTTGTGCACGTACCCTAATAACTCACACCACCAGCTCCGAGACAGGTTTAAATGCACCGCTGCAGACGATGGCTATGTCGCCTGGAGTGGAAGCTACGGCGTCCGCGTCAACCTTGGACAGTATGAAAGGCTCCGTGGTAATCGCACTCGTTTCCGCAATCTTCAGCTTTGCTTGTCCCCATCATGACTTTATTTCTAAAGATATCCCACTTTTAATCCTTTCTAGTGCTAGAGGAGCCAATGTATGTCTCCTCGAACTTTCGAATGCATACCAGTTGCCATTCAAGACTTGACGAATTCTGCCAACATTAATTCCTAGTTACGGGCCTCGTTCTTCCCCCAGGATCAGCCCTCCACTGCAGCGTGTTTCGACGATCTTTCGTCAGATGGGAGACGTTCGCTACTGCTACATATTCGAGTACTAAGTAATTCTCCCGATTTTATAGATTTATGTGCTACTATGTAACGATTACTACATCGACAAGATATGCGGAAGCAACATTTTTGCACAGTATAATACGCTTCTGCTACTGTTTTAATGGTAGGATATTCTTTGATGGATGTTTTGCTAATGATCAGGTTACTAGATTCAGCTCGAAGAAACTTTGATCACGCGAACGATAGGCACGTTATGCTGCTTTTTTGGTTCTCATTCACGGTATTGGTAATTCTGGTTCAGTATCGTATTTCGGAGCCGCATCTCATCGTATAGCAAGCTGTATCATTTTTCTATGCAGCTCGCGCTATTATAGAATGTTTAATCACAGTCTACGCTACGCCTGGAAGAATACCAACGGACTCGAAATTGTGAAGCGGTCAATTGCATTGTGACACTTCGTTCTGTCTTATATTTCCTCTACAAATGACGTCCCGGGCATAATTGTGGTAACGAATTCGATGTTACAAAGAGCACTAACATCTGGTACTACTTTGGAGGTTTGTATCGGGCGACGCTGCGTTCGGAAGGCAGAATGATGATAGAAATTGAATAGCTAAGAAGAAAATACGGGTTCCTTCTTCAACATATTCGTCCACCGGTCAACGTCACGCAATGTCACCCTACGTAGTACGTGCCCAACTAACCGGATCCTTTTAATTCAATAATAGGCAAGAACCGAGAACTGCAACACTTGGATTGACCGTCTTATATTACCCATAGGATACTTACAACCGTACAAGTGATTACCTGGTTATATGACACGTCCCGCTAGCGCGAGTCGCGATGGTATCCTCAGGGTAAGTAAACCGTGGGAAATGGCTAGAACTGATCTTCGAATTGGAATTGGGAACACGACGATCCGGGCAAAAACGGAGAATCTTCCCTTCCCTTTCCCCTAGATGGCGATATCCTTCCCCGCTGAATTGCTCGAACTTTTCGTCATCGAGGTACAGTTTCTTTTCATGAACCAGTTTCCCATATTTGATGTGTATATTACTGGCAGGCTAGTATCCCCACGCGAAAAGCCCTAAGATCAACATGTAAGGCCCTCAGATCGATCGCAACGCCCTTCGTATTTGAGAACCTCTTCGTCGACACGCGAAACAAGAAACGGCCCTTCAAATTCCTGAAGTATCTGTCCTCAGAAAAAGGATTTGCAAAATACGTTCTGCACTTGCACCTAGTCTCTCTGACGTTCCAGGGAAAGAGTATGCTTGGGTTGCGTAAGGAGAAAGACTGCGAAAAGCTTCTGGTAGCTGCGATACCATATATGACATCGCTGAAAAGTATCTCGTGAGTAACGATCCGCTCATATTGACTTTTCTAACGGTCTTTAGCTGCTCTGCCTCGGATAAGCGTATCGTAACCAATGCCAGCTTGTGGTCCTCCCTCAACCACATAACTGCTTTTTCCATCACGAACTGGGATGGGAACCAGCCTATGTCAATCTCCGGCTTACACCTCCCCCATCTTACAAGCCTCAGCTATTCGGGCACCGGCAGTCTCGAGTACGCCAGTACTCTCGGTCGGCCTGAGCACCCACCTCACCACGCTAAACATCCACTACTCCAAACATCCTGACGACCGTCCCAACCCATTTACCCCCATGGTCTACGTTGTATTCCACCGTTTTCGGTCCACCTGTCTCACTAGTCTTTCGCTTTCCGGAAACATCTCCCTAGGCCTCCTCGAGGTATACTTCCTCGTCCCCATCCTCCGTCGCCTCCAGTCGCTCTCACTCAACTTGGACTCTGTGCCGCCCGAATTCTGGATGGAATTGAGGCGACAGGGGGTGTTCATCAAGGATAGGTTCGCCTTGACAACGTGGGAAGCCGATGATTCTGTGTTTGATTATCTCTGCTCGTATATCGGACTACAGAATTTGTTTTTGCGTATCAAGGATGGAGAGGATGATCTGAGGGCGAAGGGGGTTGTACGGAAACATCGAACTACGTTACGCAGCGTAGATATTGCGAAACCGAGCTCGCTCGTGAGCTTTCATATCTGGGTGAGCGAATTTGCTTGCCTTTCATGTATTCTTTGCCGATTTTCGCAGATTGGAAGATTGCCATTGTCATGAGCACGAAACGTACTGACTGAGGACGAGACTCTATAATGAATGAAATTCGAATGCAAACTCCCTTGAACATTTCTATCTATTCTACGAGGTTACCATTGAAACGCATCTTTGGTGAATCGTTAGCGTGATCATTAGATTGAAGAAAGAGGGTCACCAACTACACACCTCTGACCTTCTGCAAACCGATGGCTTCGGTCTTGCCGGCAAATATTTCATTCAATTTAGCTGTACGTAGAATGAAGGAATAAGACTCACCCCCTGTCCTATTTACCGAGCTTTGATGGGTTGCGAAGGAATGTGCACAGATCGATTGTACTTGGACAGACGCTCCGACCCAATTTCGTATGATAGAAGGAATACTTAGACGGTGCTCGGCGGGAGCCCAAGTCGCTCCATAAGTAGAGGGGAAAGAGGAGTAATTCAATCTCCTTCAGTACTCCAAAAGATTGTACCAACTCAAAGCGACGTGACGCAAAGGAGTGCGGATTCCGATAAGATGAGAAAAGAATTGCAAACACCTCCGCTCTTGAGGTTAATTGTTCAGAAACATATCTCCCGTTGTTCTGCGTACAAATGTTCGACGGACAAGCTAATATGCAGGAACGAATTTGCAAGTCGTGCTTCAGATCGTCTAAAATAGGGATCCACCAGTTCTTGAGAGAGGAGAATAATCAGGTCTTTTCTCGTCCGAGTCACTGGCATTAACTGAGAGCCAGATAAGTATTGTCAAAACAGAGCAACAGAATATACTCTGGGCATGGGCATCCCGAACTAGGAGCCTCCCCTTCGCTTTTCGTCATCCAGGCAGCAGAATAAGGGGATCGCAAGGAGCTGGGTCGAATAGTATACGTTAGTGTGATAAAGACGGTTAGAATGGGCGAAGTATTATTCAGTATCGCTATGCTGGTAGCAGATGGTGATGAACAGGGATCAGAGTTAATAAGAACAGATCCACAAGTTCCGTAATTGCACGTGTCCGTTCTTGGTCCCAACTTCCACGAAACTCACACCAGTGGTTGCCTAACCTTTGACAGGATTTATTTAGGACGTAGTCTTCCGAACGGACACGCTTTCTGCTGTTTTGTCTATCCCGTCATCCAGTAAGTGCTATCTTCCTTTTTTTTTTGCAGTAGTATTAGGACCGGATGTTATGCGTTATTTTAACATCCGGTCATAACACTACAGTAGACGGAGATGAACCGATATACTTTCCTTTCAGAGTCACTCGGTACTGAAAACCATGTCGTAATCGATGGATAGGTATTATGATTTCCCGTCTTGCATTCCGGTGATACAGGAGCTTATTTTCCCCTCATCGCCACAGGCAGGAAGGAAGATGTTTTTACACAGGCGACTGGGTAGTTGCTATAGATAAATTTGTACCGGAGTTCTAGACCTCCATAAGCACTTGGACTGATGTAAGTGAATTCTATTCTATTGAGTTCTTTCCCCTCTTTTCATAGTGCATTCGTAGCTGACTGATTATAACATGATCTGGGCTGAGAATCCTGCGAACGATTGATTACCGGCTATGTGGCACTGAAACCTCTATTATTGTAAGTCTAGAACGTGCTAATCAACTGGTCGTCGGTTGGTGGCGGTTAGAATTACTTGGAAATCGGGAAGCGTTGAGCTTTCCGTACTGTTTAGTGCGGGTTGCGATCTGTATGATTCTTCTGTCATGATATGCCTTCAGGCTTCCGGTCCAACTTGTGAATCTCTTTGTGCATACGAATCTGCACATCGGTGGCGGTTCCTTTTCCCACATCTGAGCAGCTATTATTAAGTTCCAAGAATAACGTAGCCTAGGTTTTAGTTCTTCGAATTGTCGCTTTTGATTGCTGTTGGCCATCCTCGTGCTTGTTGACACGGAGAGACTATTCGCCGTCTTATGCGAAATGAAACGAGGGGAACCGCTCAACACAAATTGTTACCTGTTTATTTTATTTTTTGCCGAGAATAGCCCACACATAAAATCTGGACCCTTTTTTCTTGAACAGCAGAATTACTATGGCCCACGTACTACATGACTTGCCAGAGGAGCAGAAGGTTCGCATCGTAAGAGGCGGTGCTCCCAGACGGTTCTGTGGCAACCTTCCTCTTGAAACCCACATCGATATTTGGACTCTAGGACAAATCTATCGTCCCACGAAGGAATACGTGCTACTTGGATATTGCAGCATGGTTTTCGACGGCTGCGAGCTGGGCGTTGTTTGTACTTGGGAGTGTGTCAAGTCTCGTAAGTCCTCCCAGCACCACTTTAGAGACGTAATTCAACTGAACGCTGTTGATAGACGTTTCGGATATGAGTAACAAGGTACTTCTAGATTTGTCCCCAGTACGCCAAAGTCAGTATTTGACATTTATTGTAGCCGGAGAGAGACCGTGATAACGAATATTGGAGGCTGTGTCGCCTGTAGTCATCATATTGGACCTCCTGATATAGCAACAGTTACGCTTCTGAATGTATACGTTAGTCGAGCTTAAGAAGGCGGGTTCGGATTTATACGTGAGAGGTTAATCTGCTACCAAAATCACAGGTGCTGGAGAATAAATAGTGTATTACGATGTAATGGATTTCTAGCAGCGGGTAAGAAGAAAACAAGACCGAGGACTCGCATGCGAAGCAATATCTAACTGGCGGCAGACGATTAGACTGAATTGGGATAACCGGCCAGACAAACAGTCGCAACACGGAGCTGAACAACAAAAGAAAATACAGGTCTAGGCACCGCGGAAAATGCTTGACCTTCTTCCGCCACGATTGTCTGCACCTCTGACCGAATATCCTCAGCTGGAGAGCCCACTACTTGCAGCTACAGCCGCGAAAACGACATTTCCCGGATCATTGGAGGGCAGAATATCATTCCCCTCGTTTTACTGAGTGGCATGATATACGTCTGTGCCGTGTTACAACCTTGTCGCTGAAACGGACGCTGGAGGAGATCTTGGGATTTGTTTACGGAAGCAGATAACCAAAGCCACGAGGCATCTGACGTTGACGTTGCGCACGGACCCTCGTGGCAAAACTATCACGTGAACCGTATCGGAAAGGGTCCAGCCAATTCTTTCCTTCTTTATTCTGATCCTCCACCTCCGTCATTTTTCGCTCCCGGCACCACGTCTAACGATGAGCAAGAAGGCCGCGAAAGTACCCAAGACCTCTGGCTCTGCGAATATCTATGATTTTCGCGATATTGTACTGGGAAAAGTACGCGGCTACCCGCCGTGGCCCGGGATGGTACGTGTGCTGAACAATGTCGAGGGCGTGTCTGGTGCTAACGGGAATGGATTATCAGGTAGTCGACCCAAACGATGCTCCGCAGCAAGTCATCGATGACCGACCTGCAGGCAAAAAGTCCAACTTCTACCTTGTGCGATTTTTCCCTGCCGGTGATTTGTGCGTCTCTTTCAGTTCTTGTCCAATTTCTGTTTTGGGCTGACAATCGACGATGTGCAGCTCCTGGCTTGCGCCCAAAGACATCTCAAAGCTCCAGCAACACGAAATCGAGGCATACATCAACGAGCCGTTCAAAAAGTCGGGTGACCTCTTGACGGGCTACAAGGTTGCGCTGGACCCTTCCGACTGGGAGAAGCGCAAAGCTGAACAGGCGGAGGCTGCTGCTTCAGAAGAGGTCGTCGATGAGGTCGACCAGCTCGACAGCGAGAGTGAGGAAAAGCCGAGGAAGCGGAAACGGGACAGTGATGGTGGTGCCTCAGCCAGGAAGCGCAAGACGAGTACGACAGGCGACGCAAAGAAGAAAGTACCAGCGAAGAACAAGAAGGGTGGAAAGAAGAAGGAGAATGTCGAGAGCGAGGACGATGGCGAGGCTGACGAAGACGTCGGTACCAGCAAGAAGGGCACGAGTCCGCCCCCAGGCGAAGAAAGCTAGGAAGGACAAGGACGAGCATGAAGAGGGTGCGTCGTTTCCTTGTGTTTCGACTACTAACCCTGGTATATTGACCAAATTTACTGTCCAGGCGACCTGGCAAAGGATCCAGAGGCTGTCAAGGTTCGCGACTGGCGACACAAGTTGCAGAAAACGTTTTTGAGCAATAAGGGGGACCCGAAGGAGGAGGTGCGTCCTCTAAACGATACCTGTTTCCTTATCGATTGATGTTTTTGTGCTAGGATATGCCCGGTATGGACAAACTATTCCATACTGTCGAGGCGTACCAGTCTATCACCATCCACTACCTTACGGTGAGCCCTTTCCGCCATCTCTTATCCTCTTCGAGGGCCGCCTGGACGTTGGACCATTGATTCTGTCCCTTTTGCGGCCCTTTTCTGGCTTTTCTTTGCCTATTCTTTTTCTGAAGTCTATATCCTCCTCTTTCTGCATTTCCTACGGGTCTACTCGTCCCAAGTCTCTTCGTTTCGTCCTCTAACATCCTCTCCGTCATTTTCCCTTCGTTTTTGTGATTTTTCAAGCCAGAACCTGCTTTCTGTTTCTTCACGCTGCCTGGTTTGCATTTTTATGTCCAGAGCTTGCTTATACGGATTGAAGACGGTTATACCGTTCTTCTTTCGCTCCCTGGGCGACATATTTTGGCAGGCCGGTGCACTATTTGCTACCTAACTTTGCAAGGTTCTGCGATATCTTGCCCTTCATACCCATTTCTGCCTCGCCCTTCAGAGATGGAGCCCATATGATGCTATGCTTTTGACTTCGCTATCTGTGGATGATTTCCGCATTCTTTACATTCATTTTTCTCAAATTGTGTCCTGTTTTCACTTTCATATCTCCCCAGCCTTTGCTTACATGGTGTATCACCCGCACCCAGTCAGCCCATTTCTTCCGCATGGCTCTCCCTTTTGTCCTTCATTCGTCTTCATCGTGTCTTCTCTTCGCTGTCGAGGGAAACTGGTGTTTGAACTGACGACCGTTGGCCTTTTGATGTCTCTTTCCGGGCGATCTCGTTCCTTCGTTCGCTCTTCCTCGTTTCTGCCGGCGTCTCTTTCCTCTGTCCACATTTATATCTTCTGTCTTCCACCTTTTTCGCCCCCCCATTTAACTCCTACTGATAACCTTTCCTCCCCCAGTTCTCAAAAATCGGCAAAGTCATGCGCCACATCGCTGCTCTGGCTGAAGAAAAGATCCCCAACGACAGCCAATACAAGTTCCGCGAGCGTGCAAAAGCCTTAGTCGATCGATGGCAGCAAGTCTTGAACGCGAACAAGAACGAGTCAACGAATGGCGTTACGGAGGGAACGGCGAAGATGGATTTGAATGGAAACGGCAATACAAGCGGAGGTAGGACGGGCTCCCCTGTTGTGAACGGCGCTAATTGTTGATCTTGTCTAGAAGATAAGAAGGAAGGTGCGGTATCGGAGGCAGCGCCTGCGATTCCGCATGCTGAAGAGCCACTGAGCGCCCTTCCAGGAGCAGACGGCGCTGGCGACATGTCGATGCTAGGCGATGTCACAATGTCAGAGGCTGCGGCGTGATATATGGGACGAACTTTGTACGCCGTTCGTTTTCCTTTCCCAACGTTCATCGATGTCTGACCTCGGCTATGTGCAGGAACATTGTAGTATCCTTTTTCGCTTGCTCGTCTTGCATTTCGGTGTTATAGGCCTTTTCTTTTCCCTCGTAGCGCTTCCCTACTAAAATTGCTGTGTGTCACCCCGCTTCTTCTCGCTTATCTTGGCGCCTGCTACTATTTTTGCCCATCGCTTATGCTAACGTATTTTTCCTCTTCATATAAGGGAGGAATCTGTATTTTCCATGAAGCAATTGACGTTTCTTAAACTCCTGTCCTCAGCTTCTCTGAGCTGGGTTGCGATGGCCGTCACAGACGTCACTATGGTGACGACCGTGACTCACGAGTTATCTTTCTTCCGATATGTTCATCGGAATATTAATCCGATTCGCAGAACTGGGGACGGAAAAAGAGGACTAGAAGGCCACGTGCTTGTCACCTCTGATTCTGATCCTCACTCTGAGAAATCGGTTTCTTCGCGGTCTAGGCGCTGCATACCGACCCTTTGGTCTCGGGCATTTCTCATTGGCCGGTTAAGACGCGGCAAGTACCGCGGCATGTACATATGACTCGTCACTCCAGGCGCTGATGTGACGCGACCATTCTTTTTCTTCTTCCACCACCTGTACAAGATTCAAACTTTCATTTTCGTCTCCTGCAGCGTCCTTCCTTCGACATTTCTCACCAGAATTTAACTCGGAAAGCATTCTTCCTCGTCAATGTCTGCAGAATGGAATGCCGTCCTCTTGGAAAACAAAATCGATTGCTCAGGTACATCGATCCTAGACTCTTTTCCGCTTCCGTTCCCCTGTTGACCGCTCTTTTGTTTCCACCAGGACGTGACGTACCCGAATCCTGATGAACTGGCAAAGTATGCCTTGCACAACGCGTAAAACCATACCTTCTGACGAGGGATGTTTCACAGTGTACTTTCCAAGCTGGAGCAATTACCTCCGTTGGTCACCCCCGCCGAAGTGCATACCGAATTTTTCTACCGAAACTCTTGTCTCATTTCCTTGTAGATCGAACGTCTGCGATACCAACTCAGCCTCGTACAGCGGAACGAGGCTTTCCTTTTGCACGCTGGTGATTGCGCGGAGAGTTTTGACGCCTGCACCCAGGTGAGCCTTGTTCTTAGTTCCATTCTATTGGTTTGGGCGCTCATGATGGTACCGGTTTTCAAGCAAAACATCTCCGCCAAGATCGGTCTGATCCTCTCGTTTTCCTTGATCCTCATTTGGGGAGCGCGTCTTCCTGTCGTACGTTTTACCCAATAGCTGTTTCCAGACTGCCTATATGTATCTGATATCGATACAGGTTCGAATCGGGCGCATCGCGGGGCAGTACGCCAAACCCAGGAGTAGTCCAACTGAGACTATCAATGGGAAGAAAGTCACGAGCTTCAGGTGAGAACAGCGCAGTATAAGCTTCTCGGTTTTCTTACTCAGTTTCTCCAGAGGGGATAATGTCAATGGGTATGTAGTCGTATGAATGACGTGACCATCGCCTCACCATCAAGCAGACTTGATCCAAACGATCGCACTCCGGACCCTCAGCGTCTCCTGAGGTGCATTCTTTCGTTCATTAGTCCAATCTAAAATACTCAATTGGATCCTAGCGCTTATTTCCATTCCACCGCAACATTGAATCACGTTCGCGGATTACTGACCTCCGGATTCGCCTCACTTCATCACCCGAGGGACTGGTCCTTCAAACATGTTAGGTCGCCTGCTCTCAGGTAAATCCTTTCGCCGCACTGTTATACTGTGTTGGTGAGACGTTCCCCCCCAGGAAGGAATTCGAGTCCATCGTCGATGGACTTTCCGATGCTCTCGACTTCAGCCGGACCATAGGCGCAGAGAGAACGGCCCCGTTCGAGCAAGGAGGTGGGAGAGGAACTGTCGGCGAGGTCGACTTTTACACCAGGTAAATCAATTATCGGTGTGCAATTCTGAGCCGGTACTAATTTCGGCGATACGTTCAGCCACGAAGGTTTGATGCTCGACTATGAGGAAGCGCTGACTAGGCCATCCCCGTCAGGCTTCGGCCATTATAACACATCCGCTCATTTCCTTTGGATTGGAGATCGTACCAGACAGCTTGATGGCGCCCATGTTGAGTATTTTCGCGGTATTCGTAACCCGATTGGGATCAAAGTTGGGCCATCGATGGCTGATGATGAACTGGCAAAGCTGTTAGATGGTAGGACCAGTTCCTCCTCTATACACCTGACTATATGGCTGAATGGAATTGTGAAGTTGTCAATCCATCTAAAGAGCTCGGGAGGATAACCTTGATTTCGCGTTATGGTGCGGATAAGGTAGGCTATCTACGATTCTCCTCATGTCCACCTTCTTACTTGTTATAGATTGACGCTCACCTACCAGGTCATATAGAAGCCGTGAAGCGGTCAGGACATCCAGTTGCCTGGATCTGCGATCCTATGCACGGAAAGTACGTGTATCGTTTCTTCCCAACCGAGACAGCGTTTTCTCATTGTTCACCGCAGCACCCTTACATCAGTCAACAGGCTATAAGACTCGCCATTTCAGCGCCATCATCGGGGAAATCACATCCTGTTTGAGGATCCATACATCATGTGGAAGTCGGCTGGGCGGTATCAGCCTCGAGTTCACCGGAGAACTGAACGACGAAGGATTCAGCGTTACTGAGTGTCTTGGTGGGAGTATGGAACTGAGCGAGGGGCAGCTCGGTCTGAGATACCAGGTTGGTGATTACCGTTTAGGAATTGAGCACGACTTAATTCTATTTTTGCTCTAGTCGTTTTGTGATCCTCGATTGAACTTTGAGCAGAGTCTCGGTGAGTCTGTCGATCTTTATTATTAGCACAGAGACTCATTGGAATTGTAAGATGTCGCTTTTCTTCTGTCGAACCATTTCAAGAAAGAAAGGCGTGGAAGGCAGGCCGGAACGGACCACGACGTTCTTTATTCTGAACTGGGCGGGAGAGAGCCCAAGGTTTGAAATACTGGCAAATGTCAGGTATAATGTACTATCATTTTCAGAAGAGAAATATATCGTCTGTGCACGGTCAAGCTGTCCTTTCTGTTAGCTATTACTATCGGTGCTCAAGTTTGACGAGTCATAATCAGGTGGAGGATCCTGCATCTCCGAAGCATTGTTCCGCCGCCACTCGTTTAGCAGCAATTCGACCGTTGACTCTAACTGCTCCAGTCTCTCCCTTTCACCACGGACCTCCGCTTCGTCATGACTATCCTGTGAAATGGATGGTGCATTAAACCTATCCGTCGTTGGGGTCTCAGGAGAGAGAACTGGAACAGAACTGCTGGAGGCTTCCTCTTGATGTGGTATCTGTGACTTTTTCCAAAATTTCCGCTGCTTGTAGCGACGCCAGAAGAAGATGGCGAAAAAGAGAGCGGATATGAAGGTGATACTTCCCAGGACACCTCCGATGATGGCACCGGTATTCCTGGATCGTCGAGCGCTTGTAGCTGAGGACGAGCTGCTGCTGCATTGAACGCTCCATCAGTCTGCGAAGACAGTGGGACTCAAGTCCAAGGAGACGAACGTTTCTATTGCGGAGTGTGACTGAGTTTTTGTAATTGTAGACAATGATACAGATGGTGAAACGCGTGACGCAGACCAATAGTCAGTGCTAAAAACAAGGCCATATCCGTAAGGTGGACAGTTCTTTCGAAAGAAGGAGCTTGATAAACTTACAATTCGCTTGGATCGTCTTCTTCCTCCTGAAGATAGATGAGAAAGCGACGAGGGTATGTTGACCATTGAAGAGGATGGGCTGGCAGGCAAGAAGCAGCCATCCTCTGGATTTATCGATTACTATGATTCCCAGAGTAATGGATGCTGTATTTCGCAGCAACAGCACCACATATGAGCCCACATTTCTTTAAGATCTATTTAGCATGTTCCGCCTAACATTTCCATCAGTAAGTTAACATCTGTATGGCATGCATGGCATCATGCAAATCATGCGAGCCATACGGTTATACATGCGCATGGCTCTATAAGGTACCTACGTAAATCCATGCACCCCGTATGGCGGATTATATGCAGCCATGCAGTTATGCCCCACTCCATCCATGCTGTATACTGCCCCACAAAAAGTTTATATCAGACAAATTAGAATGAAAATATTTGCATTCAAACAGTATATATGATACAACAGAATTCACGAAGTAACTATTGCAATACCTTGCTACCTCATCCACCAATATGCGCAGCCAATACACTGTAGTGAACTTGATTAACAGAAAAATAGCGAATCTTTTAGAACCACTCACATAAGACCGTTAGAATGACCCCACAGCCTTCCGGATCACATCAAGGCTTATTGATCAGGTACAAGCATCCTGGGAATAAGGAATTGAGCCAAGGAAGACCAGACATATGACGAAGACTCACCCCAAGCCACCACCAATAATGCAAACACCATTGCCAGCCCTTCTTTCCAATCATGACATTCACCCGAGAGGCTACATACAGACCAGCAGCTAAAGTGTTAATGAAGAACTGCGATGAGGTACCTTGCGTAAATTAACGGATGTGTTGAAGTCCAGTGAGAGGGAGTGTCGTGCACCACATTGAAGTCAGTCACCAATCCTATATGCTAGCATTCAAAGAACTTACATGACCATGCTGTACAGGAATAAAGCCACATAACATGGCCGATTGTGGATGGAGGGAAACCGAACCATAGGAGAGAACGAATGTCAAGGAAGGGAGAAGACAAGATGCGAAGGAAAAATTTCACAAGTTCAACATGCACGTGATCCGGCAATTGCCGCGCACAGACCATAGACCATTTCGGGACAAAGAATGATGTCATACATACCTTTATCTTTCTATTATCTTCCGAGCAACAGGCTATTGCTCCAGCACATGAACATGGATTTGAATCTATCAAGAGAAAACAAAGGTGAGAGGTATATTGTTACCATGTAGCATGTAATTTCTGTATAATAGCATTGCTACATGAGACAATTCATAGGGTATAACAACGCATGGCTGTGCATGGCCTGAAATCTCATATACCGGCCATGCATGGCCATGCATACCCACACGAGTGTGAACTTACTGATGATCCTTAAGATGCGTCCGTCAACTCCAAAGTTCGAACGACGAGGAGGCTGGTCAGTGCTGAGTTTGAGCAGTCGTTCGTGACTCAAAAGGACCTCACGCTCTGCATACCAACACCGAAGGCGATGAAGACTGCTGTTTTATGTCGGCTGTCCATGCCCGTGTCAGCTACGCACTATACTGCGGCCGTCTCTGCACGAAGTCGTGATGATGATGACGAGTAGCATAAAATTGCGCAGCAGTTCTCAAGATGCGCAGTAGACGGTGTGTTATTATTAATAACTACTACTCCTGCCGAGGCACATGTACAGTACAAGGAGCAACTAGAACCGACTTCGTGGAGATGCACGGCTGTTCGGACATTGGTTAATCATGGATACGAGACGATGAGTTATATAATAGCGAAGCTACATCATGATGCAACGGGAATCATGATTGACATGAAAAAAACTATCGCGGCGTCGTTTCCTAAAGCGATCATTAAGAACCAAGCACATGTCGCAGATAATAAAATACTCACTCCCTCATAATAAGATTGAGCCGAAGTCCGGAATCCATGAGCCGCCTGGATATCTCAGTACGGTCCTCGTTCTCCGTCGGCTCTACGCGATAACATGGTCCAATATCGATAACGCGAAGTGTCTTCGAACGAGTGCTCCCCAGCGCAAGCACATCCCTCAGATCACAATCATTGACGCTGTCTGGGAGGAATTGGAGAGTTTCCAGGTTGGGAAGCAACGATGGATCCTTTCGAAGACTACCGAAAAGATTTCGATATCCATCTGTACCGATGCTGAGCTGTGCAACGCAGGAAAATACAGACAGGACAGGTTGAGCGTTTCGGCCGAGGCCTCCGCCTAGGGAAATTTGTAGTTTATGGATGACACATGATGAGCGATTGAGAAATGACGCGACGATTTCACGATTCCATGATTGAGTAACAGTAGAGATGCAGAGATGTGTTAGAAAAGGAAGCGTAAAAAAAGCCAGATTGTCGAGAGAAGGTAGTTCGACTTGTCGTAGTGCCATATGGGTCGTTGGGACTGGGTTGTCGATGTTCCACGGCTTAAAACCGGTAAGCCTGAAGAACTGCAGGTAAGGCAGCTGATTAAGAATAATGGGTATGTCCTCAGGCTCGGGGTAGCTTATGCTTAGCTCTGTTATGCGCGACGAGGGCAGCCGCAACATCAAGACTGGATTGAGGATCGCTGAACGAAGCTTCGGTGCAGTTTGGAAGGCGGTGCATCTATCTTTAGCTGGCATGTCGTCCCAATAGAATTGTGATGATGACTGAAAGCGGATTGATTGGATAAGGGGAAGTTGGGCGCTGCCGAGCAATTCAAAGAGGGCATTGAAGGTTTCTGTGGGGGCGATTACGATGATGTCCTCCCATCGATGGGAGAGCGAGACTAGCCGTATAAGTAACTCTTGGGAGTAATCCTCCCAATCCGAGAATTCGACACGAAGGGATAGTGGGGAGGACCCAGAGCGGCTCAACGCGTAGTCGAGACCTGCCGTGAAATGTATGGATCCCTGAGGTGACACAGGTGTTAGCCTGCCAAGGCGAATAAATGAGGAACTTTCAGTGATATGGATGCGAAGTTTGGACCAGAGGGAGGGAAAGGAGTGGGTTGTTTGTCGCCATCGCAAGCAGACATGGCCGAGGGTCCAAGGACTTTGGACAGCGGGCCGATTGTCGGACAGAGCGTCGACGAGAGCCCAATCAAATATTTCAAAGAGTATCTCGGCTGGTAGGCGGTGGATCGGAGGCCTAGAGGCTTGTACTGACATTACAGACCACCGACCGTCAAAGCGAATCTCAATGACTGATACGTCCTATAACTAAGGTCGAAGCCAGACGGCCGTTAGCAGATATAGAGTGACGATGACGAGAATACGCTCACAATCGACCTGAAGGCTGCTTGAAGGTCGAAGTAGTGTAAGACGGTTGAAAACAAGGAGTGGATAGGATCGGAAGAAAGAAAGGAATGGAAGACGAACGCGATTTTGATCTTGAATGTCGTTTTGTTAAGGTAAGCCTGATCGCGCGATTACTGTGGGTCCGAAAGTTGATCTTCAGACCTGGACCCTTGATTTTGTATGAAATTGGTTCCGTAACAGGATAAGAAACTATGGTTTTTGATGAAAAGAAACTCCGGCCTGAAGGCATTTCGCAAACGACATTCGTGACCAAAATCGCGTTCAAATTGCGACGACAACTCGATGGTACGCCTGGCACGGCGATTCAACACCAGGCGCAACGATCTCAGTACCGTCAATAACGTCGATCAGATTGTCGTTTCCTTCTTTGGAGCACCACCACGTTGTTTTCTAATTGTGAAGAGCCATTGAACTTTTCAATGAGGCCGTTACCGCCAGCTCCCTCCTACTACGATGTAAGTACAAAATGTTGTTATGAAGACCGGTCACGTACCAACTCGAACGTGTTATCTTCTGCCGCTCGTAGCCGCCCAGTGGTTTTATTCAGACGGCTATGGCCATCCTCATATACGAACGACCAGTTCTCAACATATACTCTGTTTATCCGTTGCAACACTGGGTGATTCCATCGATACCGAACAAGGTCCAAAACGTTCTCCAAATTCTCCTGCGACATTTCTACTCCGAAAAACTCGAGAGTGTCTAGTTTGGGAAGTAGCAACGCCTCTCTGCTTCGAAGCGTTTCCAGGAGATCCCCGTACACAGAAGGGTTCCCAACATCAACCCGAAGATTCGTAGTGTCGACGAGGAGAGACAGGATACCGGTCACATCCGGCGCAACTTCATGAATAGGAAGGTGAAGATAGCGAATAGAGCAACCCGAACGAAGGATAAACCGCTTGAGTGCATCCAATGACAGGTTCGTCCTCCAGTCTGGACTATGCGGCGACGAACAGAACGGCTTCAGAAGCCGGAGATGTGTCAGCGCCGGAAGGATGAAATGGGAGAGATCTTGCACACTCTCGATCTGAATTTCGCGCAGAGCCGTATGGACTTGAAGCATGGGTGCCCATCCTATGGCATGCCAGGTTCTCAAACCAGCCATATTCAGGATTTCGAGGTGAGGAAGGTCGTGGATAATCGATGACAAGTCAGTCTGCGTTAGGTCTTTGGTTGTAAGTTCTCTTAGCTCGGAGGAAGGTAAACGGATGGGAAGAAATGGGAAGAGGGTGGCAGAACGGAGGTTCGGTGCCGTTTCAAAGGTAGCAGCGAGACGCGCCGTCATGGGAGTAGCTCCCCAATAAGAATCGGAAGTCACCTCAAAATGAATTGATTGAAGGAGCGGAACCGCCCCCAACACAACGCACTCGAAGAGTTCGTGGAACATGGAAATGGAAGCTTTCATTTTGACAACTTTCCAGCGACGCGACGTGGACGCCAGAGTTTTCAGCAGGTCGCGTGGGTGTGAGTGGCCTGCCGCGAGTTCACGATCGGGAAACTCCACCCTGAGCGTCAGGGCTGTGGTTCCAGACCGTCGGAGCGCGGTTCCGAGTCCCTCAGTATTATTGATAGAGAAATAGTGACGCGGCGACTCGCGCGTCAGCCCTACGTGTATGGTTGACCATAGACATGGGAAGGAAGTCGCGACAAGCCTCCATTGCCGGCAGACATGACTGAGGGCCCATGGTGACTGGATGGCGTTCGTGTCGGCAACAGGATTATCCTGTACAGCCCAAAGAAATATTTCGTAGAGGAGTTCGACGGGTAGATCATGAATGAATTGAGGTCCTAGGGCATCTGCGGTAGCAGTGGGGAAGGCGACGTTATCCATGTTGTTATTGTTGGTGACAATTTCCTCCTAGAAATGAATAGCAGGTTTAGCAGATTCCACTATCAGGTTGATGCAAGGTAGACTAGACGTACTAGGGAGGAAGGTTCCAGTTTGCGAATGTTGGTAATGAACGCGAGCTTTAAAGGACTCCGTACAGCCACGAGAGCGACTCGGTGGATTTTGCATTCTAAGGAGGCTACGGCGGCATTTTCCGGATCCAACTCGACTTTGAACTCTATGCCGCCCCTTGCACATGTTACAATTTCCTGATTGATACAGGCGCACGGTGAATACGGTCCCTTTTCTGATATCGAACATAGAATTTTACTAACCAGCTGGGGTTTAACGGGCTATTGAACGTTCAATTTAGTAAAAAATGTCATCAAGAATGCGCGCACATGTCTGCTTCAGTATGTCGGCCAAGAGAGCCGGAGCCTTCAACAGATCTTCAGCAATTGAAGTCCTTCTGGTCGCCATAGATTCTATCTTGACCGCCACATCATCGGTTGTCCTCGTCTTCCTAGTCAAGTCTAAAATAAACTGAGGACTCCACTCTGGCCCTCCCGATGAAACGTCGAGGTCCCCGTTAATCTTGTCCCTGGAAAAATGAAACATTGCCCACCATATAGCATCCGTCGGCCCTCGGCGATCAATCCGCCGCATGGGCGGGTCTCGACTTTGCCCTGGATCTGCCTCAGCGCTCCCATGGGCTCACAGATATAGAAACTCTTCGAAAAGGTTCACAAGCTCCAAGATGCTCCCAATTAACACCCTGGCCAATCGGTGACCTTCATCATTCCCGCGAAAAAAAAAAATCGTGACCACCAACCGGTCCGCATCGTGAAGAAAAAATCGCCAATCATGGATAATACGCCACCTAGATCCCCGTTTCGTTGAGAACGGACCGTGGAGCTACCTTTCCCCTCGGATCAACACGAAGGTTAAAGATTGCCCTTGTTCTCAGATAGGCCGAAAGCCAGCAATTCACACAGTCACTATGCGGGAACTATGAGAGGAAGGTTAAAATCCGTTCATAGTATTGCATTATGTCGAAATAGGCAAGAAGACGAAGAGACGAGGACGTTATAGAGATGGGAAGGCCGCGATACTGATGAATATTGTTCGCGGGAAGGATTCGAAGCTATTCCATTCTACATATGAAGGTCGTCTGGTGGGCGACAGTTCGAGAAGATCATCCTCATCGTACTCAGCGAAAGGGATCTAGCGTTGGTCTATCGTGATTCGGTGTAGATGCCCGACACCTTCAACTGTTCAAGCTTCCCTGAGCAAATAGTTCTCTTAGCCACCCTGCTGGCATAGACGATCTTCGGTAACAAGCATAGGGACAAGCGTTGGGGAGGACATGGCGCTAAACTCCAAAACACGAGTATTGACACAACACGATGATTCCGCAGGTTTTTAGGCCTTTCATAGCTATTCCGATAAATGAGTATTACGTTGACCACAGTCGTATGTTTTGACATACCGTAGCATACGTCTCACCGTTGGGACACTTCCGCAGTACGGAACTGTATCTCCACTCAATTCGTCATCCAGCTGCCTAAAAATCTTCACTTCCACGGAACGGATATCGCTCAGAGGAGTAAAGTGGGAGCATCAGCGGCACCGAAGTATGCGCCGCTCCCGCCGCTCCCGCCGCCACACCGACATAACCCCAACCGCACGTCGGTGCACAGCGCTTTCAGTATCCAGTCCCAACCTAACGCCGTTTTCTCATACGATGCTGCGATCGACTACGAGTGGCAACATTCTGTGAGAAGGAGCTCGTTGGTGCAGGCTCGCCTTCTTCGCTGCCACGTCTGTAAAAGAAGTAGGCGTCAGGAAAGACCCAGATGTGACCGTACTAAAGAAACCAACATCTTCATCCTTAACGACAGGAAGTCGTTCTCATAGGTTCATCCTTTTTCCTGTAATAGGGGAGAACATGTCAAGGCGCAGCTAAATAATGGGCAGCTAGCTCCACTGACCATCAGTCTCCCTCGCATCATTGCTGGCGCTTTCTATGCAGTACGATTTCGTCTCCTTGATAGTTTCCACCGCAGCCGGTAAGTCTTGTAACGCCATCGCCCAGTCCTCCAAAAACACCCTTGGAGAAAAGTCGCCTCATGGCCACTCGACGTACAGCGAAACCACAAGCCGTTGCTGGTGGCAGGAGAGGCAAGTACAGGATGAAGCAAAGCACGAATCTGCCACCTTCCACCATAGCCTTCGAAGGCATCGCCCATCTCAAAGCGAGACGCTATTTTAACAAGGCAAAGAATTGTCGTATTGCAAGTATGAAGTATGCAGTACGACCAGCAGGCATATCTCGACGTTTGCGTTCAGGCTAGCGTAAGAGGCGTAACATTCGGCGATGATAGAACCTCTAGCGAATAGGGAATGGACTATCCTGGGACGCTAATGAGGAAATTTTGGGCGAAGATAGCACAGAGACGCAGGAGAGGATCCATCGTACCATCGCATCGTTGAGGTATATCATGGTACTAGCATCTGTTCTGGTTTGGGACAAGCATGACATGATGGTAGGAAGAATCCATGGTCCGACGACTGAAAAGCCTTAATGAGGTTGCATTCCCCTGTTGGGCGTCTCCGCCATCGCTCTGCGATAGCTCTGATTCCTTGACCCGAGCCATCTATCCATCATGAGAACGTTCACTGAAGAATAGGCGACGTGAGGCCGCGTCGTGATTGCTGGTACGATTGCGTCTGTGCATGACCACCTATTGGATCATAGATACTAGATATGGAAAGGATATGTATCAGATTGGATAGCACTGCAGGACACGGTACAACATCGGAAATATCTTCAAAACGCGGTAAATTATCGGAAGTATATTAAAGATGGACACACTCACCACGCTAAGCGAGACCGGGTACGGTTGAGGAGAAATTGGCGTGGTAGAACGCACGCAAGCTGACTGAGTGACGGTTCGATATTCTTCTCATCTAGACTTCGCAATCAAGCGAGCAGAAAGGTTATTGCCGCTGGGACCATTAACGAAAGAGGTCTTCAATCCTTCTGGTAGTCCTCATGCCTACGGCAAAGCGGTGGAAAGGGATTTTCTCGAACACGATCATCTTAACAGAGGAATGAGCGAGAATAGTACAGCTGAAGTTGACGAAGTCACACGTACCTCCTCTGGGTTTCCCTCGCGGCGATTAACTCCGTGACTGTAGCGTCTTTTGCGACACTTTCGAACATTCGCATGACGGTCCAGCACCTCCGTCGAAATTACTTAACCACAACGCATCGAGCAGTATTATATCTGCTGAGACCACCGTGATTCTGCTGGGATATCAGTATATAAGACCTTAAAAGTGAAGGCTGGGCTCACTCTGAGTTGATGCATGTCGAAAGAAGACACCGCAGTTTTCAAAAGGTCATGAACCATAGTTGTCCTGAGAATAGATTAGAAAAGGACAGCAAAGGAAGGAATATTCTCAACTCACAGCCGAAGGCATTTCTTCGAGGGCTATCCGTCATTTGATTTGCGGGAAACCCGTTGCTTTAGAGAAAAAAGGTCCGGCGGTATTTCCTCGTATTTAAGACATGCTTCCCAGAGCGAGCCGCCTAGAAATTATCCCTTTTATGCGCTTCAGTTTACGATCCGCATTTCCGGAGGAGCCGGGAAGATTTACCCAAGATGCGATACTTTAAAGCTAATCCAGTATCGGGAAGTATTCTTTTACGTGTTGTCTGGTGTAGGAGTCACAGCAGATGTAAGAACAATAGCCACGCTGTCACTAGGGATGTGCACCGTATCCGTAGTACGGTGGTTACGTACGGTGTATACAGATACGGGTCCGTACCGTGGACGACTTTAACGACCCAAAATACGGCCGTATTCATACGGTTTGAATACGGTCATTGAGGGAGGGACAGAGAACTATCTTATTCCATAAAGGTCAGTACCTATGACCTAAAAGAAGCATATAGTACTCACACTTTGGCACCAGATATCCATCGTCGTCGTCAAAGTGTCCGTATACGGACAACGGTACGGACACGGTACGGATATGACATCAACCGTACCGTACCGTGGCCAATAATTTTTATACGGTCTACGGCCGTATTGCTACGGTCGTATCCGTAACGGTACGGTGCACATCCCTAGCTGTCACGAAAAACGATGTGGGTATTTGATTTAATAGCTCCCTTTTCCTGGATTCCTGTAGGGGGGTGGGAGGAATTATGAAATTGACTGAGGATTTTAGTAGATTCGTTGCGTTTTGTGGAGTGATGAGACTGCCTTCGGGAACCGAGGAAGACCGATTTAAAACCGAGATTGATGAAATTCAGCTCCGCTTGAATTTTGGTTAGATTCGGCATCTCGGTTTGAACTTATCTAATACCCACCAAATTTTACCTTCACATCTTTCCGGAATATGATAATCGTACTCGCAAGTCTCTATCTTACAATTCATCTGTAACATGCGGTGGGAATTTGATCAACCTGGACGGCTTATGGGCGCCATCGGTATCGTTGAGCGTGTGTACTGTGCCATTTCAATCACTTCGAATGGCTTGTGACATGCGACATACCTGGACCGTGCCGAATGATCGAATGCATGGCTAGTGACTGAGACATTCGTACAAAATACGAATACTTCTCCTATTTTGGGCAAATTTAGAGCCAATCTTAAGGGTATCGAGCTGCCAGAATGGGTTATAGACGGTGTGAAATGTGTTGCAGACTAGGGAAAAATCCAAATTTCGGCCATTTTGCATCTACTTTGGCATTTTTGCGGATTTGTGACACCAAACCTTCCCGGAATCCCGAATGAGGCCCTTGCGACGTGTGACACGGGTTTATTTTACGAATACGAATGCGCCTCTGCGACATGTGACATTCGAAGTGATTGAAATAGTACAGTAATCAGCATACATCATTTTTCGAGCTGTGCGTTGGACCTTGAGCAGGAACTGCCAGAATCGTTCTCGGCGAGAGCATAATACGGTCCATAATAATTCTATACTCCGCGCTATAGACATGCCATGCGCAATGTCGAGTCGAAGGTACATCTACTCCCGGCGTGTCTAATAGCGAAGTAACCGCACAGATATTGATACCGAATCAATCAATTCTGTTTGATGAAGATCGCTAAATGACATTACGACATATGCAAGCGCATTGGCTATTGGAATACTGCTTATCAATAAGAGATATCATAAATTATGCCTTGCTATGATATATTGACTACAGCTCTAAAAATTAGTATTGGAAGTAACTACTAGTCCTTAGTCCTATTGGGGACTGATCAGAGGCCGTACCAGCAACCCTCCCGTCGCAATGGCCATATGTTCTCCAATCCGAGACACCGATCAAGGGAATGCCGCTTCCCATCATCAAGAGATCAAAGAGTAGTTTCTCAGGCTCGATACGCATATGCACGCATCATATCATCAGGTCCCATCGTCTGAGTATGGTCAATACCATTCAACATCTCACGAAAGGATTCTTTGTTCTCATCGTGACCATAAGCCCTCAGGGGTGCTTTTAATACATGTTCGGCTTGGGAATCTGTAGAGAAGAGGCTTGATCAAATGAAGACGAAAGAAATGCACATCACGAACCTTTCCTGGAGGCATCCCACCAGTTCGCCCCGTCGCTGACCCTCGCTCTAATTATTTCAGGTGTTAAAATCTCGGGATCCTGGACTTCGACGTTCAGTAACATCGACTCTCCCGTACCCACCGCGACTGAATGCTGATGATTCGAAGACGACGACGATGCACCAAGCTGTGCATTCTCATGGTGATACAGCCCAGCCCCAACTCCTGCTTGGCCCGGACCAGCGTAGAAACTGGAACTTGGCCGGTTTCCTAGACTTGCTCGAGTGGGCGTTCCAACCAAGCTATTTCGAGCCGCTGCTGATGCCCCAGCAACAGTAACACTCGGCCAATCAGCATTGATGGTCGACATTCTCTGATCCACCGTTTCGGTCCACGTCTTCCGTTCCTTCCGTCCTTTTCTGCGTCTCCATATCAGCCACGCTGCTATGCACAAAGCAATGAACGCGATTGGAGCGACAACTGCTGCGGCTATCTGCCCAGCAGAGATGGCCTTGGAGGTTGAAACTGAACCGACGACTTCGCCTTCAGAGTCTGACTTGGAGGTATCGGCGCTATCTGGCGTACCCGACTGAGGCTGTTGGTATGTCGCGTTCCACAGAGGTCCTGCGGGAAGAGTAGCGAGAAAAGAAGGATCCCCGGTAGGTACGATAACGAGCTGGAGCTGTATCATGCTTGAGGAATTCCACCACCGAGGCTTGAGTGTTGCTTCATACAGTCCGTCTGCGTTCTTCACCTGCTCCCAGACGTGTATCCTTGGTTTAGAAACGGACGGAGCGTATAAATGTATATCGACTGCGTTCGCGTCTAGACATGATGGGTTCCAGGTGATGTTGGTAGGTTCAAGGGAGTTGACGGTATCTCCCTTCGCGGGAGAGTGATATAATCCGCCGGTGGAGCAGTCTATCAAAAGCTCAGTTACCAAAGTCCGGGAGATGGAATGACAGACATACCATTATCGTCCCTTCGTAGATGGTTCAGCCCACCAGAGGGCAGTTCAAGGTCATGGAATCCAGCCATGATAAGGATCCGTACAGAATCTTAAAGACCGTAGGAAGACGAACGTGAAAGTGAACTCGCTGAACAGACCTCCGCAATGACAAAACGCAATCAGGGAAAGTTTAGGACAGAAAAATTTGTAGGCCAGGTATGCTGTTGTCTGTGGTTCGCTACAGCCGGAATGTTTGATGGACAGTACCATCGAAATTCCTCCAGTGCTCAGTGATGCGCCGGTATTACACTTGTTCGTAACCTAGAAACACTAACACCGACTCCCGAGGCCACTGGTAAGCAATTGTATTAAATAATGAAAGAGACGAGTGAAAATTGAGCAAGACAGCAAGTCAGCGAGTGTGAATTGGAGAGTTCTATAGGTGAACGCGTAAGGCCCGTTTGGCAAGAAGGAATTGTGGAAAATGAAATTGTATTCATCAGTGCACGTGCTCCGACGAATGGAACCCCGTGACAAATGCCGGTCTTTGCCGGACCCCTTCTCTGGTTCCCGGATGTATCCGGGGTCCGTTTCCGAACGACCTGTCACCTCGCCTCAACCTCGCGCTTGTTGATGACTATCGCTTCCTTCTTGTAAAAAGTGATCAATTGAGATGTACGACTGACTCGTAATCTGTCCTTCTACAGATATTACAACTTTGCTCACTCGTCCCCGTCAACCATCATGAACTTCTATACCGGTCGTCCGATCTTTAAATTTCGTAAAAGCCAAGTACAGATGGATCTCAAAACTGGATAGATCACCCTCACTAAACTTAATAGCTCTTTCTTTGGTAATCTGCTGACGATCAAGGTTTTGTCAATCTCCTCACTGTCATACGGATCATCGATTCCATTGCTCAGGTGTTGTTTTCTATACCTATGACTCGTGTGCCATTACTCCTAATCACATAGTAGGCTTCCGGAAACAATGGCTACTCATGTATGCTTCCGTGGGTGCCGTTGTCCTATCCGCAGGATCGCTATCGTATGATATGTATTCTGTTACAAGCGTGCGAGGCATTTAATGTGTTATATCCCCCTGCGCAAATACGCCGTGCAGCGATTTCCTTTTCTTTATTTAAAGTACGCGGCTTTTTATTATAGGCCTCGGTACAGATGTTCATGCATTTGATAGGGCCCCTCTTACAACCTCGAAAGATCCTGGATTTCCAACGATTATTAGCACTCGCCACAAGGACATCAGTTCTAGGATGATCCTCCCATGGATTCTATGTTCCTGAAACGGACTGCATACTACATTCTGGGTACTGTATTTCCAGACAGACATTACAAGGAAAGCTTGATGCTGGCATTCAATGCGTTTTGTCGTGCGAATAATCATTTTCATCCCGTTATCCTCTAGCCTCTGGCCGGAATTCTCTTCCCGTTCCTTGCGGTTTCCACACAATCACCGCAGCGAAAGAAGCCACGAATCCTCTTCTCAGAACTTCTCTATCAGACTCAGTTGGTGGAATGCGGTCTTGTTACGCAAGGGGTCTGAGTCTGAGCGTTCCCGAGGACACCATGCATCACGCTCCCATCGGATTATAGAAGCCATAACACCTCTGGAATGGGAAACGTTCCGTCCAAATTCTTACAGGTGACTTTATATTTACACCGCAGGTGGTACCCGTGACCAGAGCTTGGACTGATTTAAGCTGTGGGGCAGTCCTCTTTAATCATATCAATGGCTATCTCTAAGTTACCACCTTTTCCGGACGACGTCCCTACCCATCCACTTCTTGTTATCGACTACGCCCTTCTCAAAACGCATGACCAGGAAGAGATCGAGAGACTATGGAGAGCTGCGACGCAGCTGGGATTTTGGTAGTGCGTACGAGACTCGTACTACGAGTTCTAATCCTAGCTTCACGTGGGCTGATCTGATTTCATTGCACAGTCTGAAGAATCACGATGCGGAGCAAGAGGCTAACGGTATGTTTGATATGGGCGACGAGACTATGAAGCTACCCATGGAGGAGAAGATGAAATATGAGCAAGGAGACGATGGAATGTCTTTTGGGTGAGTTAGATGTGTTCTATAGCTTTAAACGCTAATCCGTATCAATCACTGATACAGATACAAAGCCGCTGGATTGAACGCCGTCGATGCCAATGGAATCACTGATACCGTCGAATTCATTAACATCGCCAAAGACGACGCCATAGCGTACCCCACACCTGTTCGACGGGAGTACCCTAGCACCGTGAACGTCCGTATGTCCAGCACTATACATCCCTTCGTCACCAAGTCCATCGAAATCAATGATACGATCCTCGGCATCTTCAACGAGAAGCTCGGGCTTCCAGAAGGATCTCTCGCGAAGAAGCACAGTCGGGAAGAGTTCAGTGCAAGTGAGGCTAGGACGATAAAGAGCCCACCGGGGTATACCAGCGATCGGATGGCTATCGGAGCACATACGGACTTTGGTTCTTTGAGTTTCCTGCATAATAGGCTTGGAGGACTGCAAGTGCTACCTCCCGGGTATGAAGAATGGCAATATGTAAAGGTGAATTGAGATCTTTTACATTCGGCCACGGCTGACAATTCTCTGGTAGCCTATTCCAGGACACGCCATCTGCAATGTTGGTGACGCGTTGGCGCTGTTCAGCGGGGGGATCCTCCGATCCAACATCCACAGAGTCGTGTAATACATTCATATCGCCTCTAATCCTTGCGTTCTTCAACTAACTACCATTTCGTCTAGCCCCCCTCCTGGTCCGCAAGCACATCTCGAGCGCTGGTCCCTCGTGTACTTCACCAGACCCGGAAACTCGGTCTTACTTCGACCTCTGGCGGATGAGAGTTCAATAATTGCTGCTGCAGTCGAGAACTCCTCTCAGGTCAACACGCCTGTGACGGCACACGAGTGGTTCACTAGAAGGATCAAAAATCAGCGCATGAAAAACCGAACGGTGTGTAATACGAGTTACGCTATTGAGTCTCGGTATTAACTCTTCTGTGATAGGGGCCTGAGACGTGGCAGGCAAGTCGAGGCACGGAAGGAGGCCGGGCCTAATTGTGCAAACTGTAAATGTATCGAGTGCTTATTTCTTCTCGTGTATTAAATATCGAAAAATGAGAAATTGTCCTTTCATTCAACTTTCCGAAGCATCAGCCCAGTTTTGCGAGCTGGAAATCCTATTGCTCAAGGGAAGATATTTATGTTGTCACACCTATTGAAAAACGCTTCTGTTCATCAGTGGAAAAATTGTGTTTCTACAATTCCAAAAACAATACGCACTTTCTTCTTGTGGAAGCATGCGACACAAAAAGTCAGCTCAGTAACCGAATAACACGAAGGACAAATGTGCTAATACAGCGTATCGTTACTTGAGTGTCAGTTGAGTGCTCCAGATGCGTTCCCGTTAGCGTTTATAAACCCCATTGAATTGTTAAGCGAAAAAACAGCATATCTGACATTTTTTGAGGAATCCGTTGCATTCTCACCATTATCGGTCCCTTTAGTTCGACACGCTGTCGACGCGTCACAAACGCGTTGTCGCAATCCGATCACGTGCTGTTAAGATGTAAATTCAGACCGGTTCCCGCCGAGAGCAAATTGGTTGCTACCTTCACAGCCTCGAATCAGTATGACAGGCACAATGAAATCCATTCCAGTTTCAGCTTCATTCTCCTCTTCGTATATTCAAGCAAGCGAAGAAAATAACAATGGTAGGTAGATCTTATCATGTCACTCACTATGTTTTATATGGAACATTTCATCCAGGATATCTGTGTCAAATGTCAATTTGATGCTATACACCCTTATTCTCCTTCTGTTAATGCTACCGAACTCTTACGTTCCGGTTTCTCATCCTTCGATGTCTGCCGAGCTTCCATCGCAAATGATATAGCTCATCTCGAGCGTGAGCTGCAGAAGATTGAGCCTCTATTTCTTGAAATCCGAGATCGGCACGACCAGATTAACAAGGACCTTACTGCTTGTAGGTCCGTCTTGGCTCCCATGAGGCGTTTGCCTCGAGAAACACTGTTGAGATTCGAGCACGGGAGGGAACGAAAATGAGCAACTCGTTTATACCTAGTATGTCGACATGGTGGTAAACGGTAAAGAAAAGAAGACTACGGGTACGGTAAGTAACGGGTTCGGAGCCGGTTGATTCCGACGGCTCGTACAGCCACAGTAACTCTAATAAACACTGCTCCAGATATTCAGCCTCCTCTCTATTACCGGGTTTCTACAAAATAATGAGAATCGATCGAACTTTTTTTCGGCTGCCCAGTATAGTAATTCCCTATCTTGGATTCCACCAAATGCACAAGCACTGTGAATTATACCTTCCTGACGTACCACTGGGCTATATTCCTTCGAATTATCCATCAAAGTCTCTGATATCACCACTCAGGCCTTTGGTTTGTGATCCTCATGAATTCGCTAATCTGGTCTGTCAAATCCCAAATCAGTGGTATTTTCTTCACCACTGCAGGCTCCATTGCATGACTTGATGACATCAAAACATTGTATACTGCTTCGGGAATCAATTCTAAACCGTTTATTCTATCATTACCGTTGCTCTTGGTGTCGAGTCGCTGTTGAAACAAAATCGGTACCTATGAATTACTATATTGGGCAGCTGAAAAAAAGTTCGATCGATTCTCATTATTTTGTAGAAACCCGGTAATAATCCTAATCTACTCGATGCCCCTTGGATCCTCGGCCAAGTTTGTTTCACCTGGAGAACCTTTTCCCGTTCAAGTCCTTCCCTCTGGACCAAAATCCAAATCCTACCTTCCTCCTCCTACAGTACTACTTTCCTTCAGAAATATTCCACCCTTTCCCGTGGTCAGCCCATCCAGCTGGCTGTGGAGTGCGATTCAGAGTACCCCCTGGATCCCCTCACTGCCTTGGTGACATACACACAGCGTTAGTCAAGTTTGGACTTGAGGATGAACATGGAAACGTTGTTCCAATTCCTGTCATGGATCTCCGTCCCCGCGCTCCATTTAAAGAAGATAAATATCTCCTTGATTGGTCGTCTTGACAGGAAGGTCCAATCTGTGCCTTTCAATAATCCCTTCTCTCCATCGCCCATCACGGAAGCCTGCCTCGAACGCATTCCGTATCCTTATCTCCCTATAAGCCTGGTCGACGTTCAAAAGTTCCATGTATATTCATACCACTCTCTAGAGATATATAACATACTCCAACAATCACGGCATCTCACGGAAGTCGTCATTACACCAGCCCCACCTTCCGTTTCCCTCAATATCAACCCGCTAGCAGTTGCCTGCGCGCGCCTGGATCACATATCTCTTCGACAACTCTCATTCGTTCTCACGCGAGAAAATGCGCGTCAGGTCACCAAAATTCCGGTAGCTTTGGACTACCTGACCCTTCCGGCGCTTCAGAAATTTCATATTCTCACTCTAAAAACCGAGCTACTGCCAGGTATCCTCCCAGGAAAGTTGGAGCCCGTCGAATACTCCCGTATCGTAAACCTTCTCCATCGCTCAGAATGCAATTTGACTGAAATCACCTTCTCGGTGCCCGTACCCGTCAACAACTTCCTCATCCCTATCCTGAAACAATCTCCAGCTCTCCAAAATCTTGACACATTCGTCGACACTGAAATAACAGGCGGCGTGTTTCGAGTGTTAACTCTCTCGGAAGGGAATGTTCCAAACCTGAAAACGCTACGGATTGAGGACGTTCCATGCGGAAGAGCGATGAGTGGTCTGTTGCATGAAGGGGATGCCTTTCATGAGATGGTCACTTCGAGATTGGCAGCGGATAACCGCCTAGAAAGATTAAGGATCTCATTAGGGACCAAGTGGTTTCACCATCGGCAATTTATTCCTGTTGCGCAGAACTCACGCATCCGTAATTTGCTCAAGATGAAGGAGGAAGGACTAGACGTCGAGTTTTTGTTGGATAGGACGGACTGCCTTATTGAAGGAGATGCACGCCATGGACTCTTTGGTTCAATGTAAACTATCATTTCTCTATACGACAGAAAGATTTATTACGTTCCTATATATTTTCGAGGGATTTAGATCAAGATTCATAATTGGCGCTATCCCGTGACATCGAGATATTGATTACAGAGTACAAAGCACCCATAGGACTGGTCGAGAATACATACAAATATACAAATTCTTACGATTTCCTCTCACTCCGCGACACTTTCGGCGCCATCAGCCGATGTATGCTCAGGCTCCATCTTCAAATTGAAGTCCGTCGTGTAATGAACGCTCTGCTCCACGTTTATTTGGAGCTACAAAGCCTGTGAGTACTGACTGATTCGCACGCAAAATCAACGCACACCTCGGTTGCTTTAGAAAACTTAGGCTCGCTAAAGCGTGGCTATAAAATAAAGTCAGTTGTATTTCCAGTGAAGGCGAATGTGTCGTAAAAGTTCTACCATCTTTCGGCGTGAATCCAGCACCAGTCCATTACCGCCCTCGGGACTTTGGGAAAAATGGATCGTTTGTCCTCGGCGAAGGCCGCGCCGCGTGTTCAACCTGAGATTTTGAGAAACCGAAGGGGAAAAGGAAAAGCAGGGAATGAATACGTACGTCACTAATAATGAGTTTGCGTACACTTTCATAAACGGGTGAGTGTTATGGAATACATAATGAACGTAGACTTACGTTTCCCGATAACGAAATGTATGCCGAGGAATATTAAATTTGACTTCATTGACACCCACTGCGGTATAAATTGAGGCTTCATGCTGCCGCATGGTACGGATAGAAACTTACACAGGCCATATCAACAATAGTCCCTGCACTTAAGCAGAGCAGTCCTGTAAGAGTTAGTCGCGAGAAGTGAGAAGTTCGCCCCGCACCATGTGAGAGATCCCGTCTCGAAAGTGTACAAAATCAATGAGTCAATGATGGCATTGATACTGCGGGAGAATCCTTCAGCGGTGAGAAATTAGAAAATAGAATCCACGGTACCTTTCAGCATCGGTACGACTTGTTTGAAGTAGCCAAAAGAGGGATACAGTGATTAAAATATCTGCTACAGACGACATAGATAAGCCAAGTGTGAACACCCACTGTACACGAATCAGCGATGTGGCTGGACTACATGAGAAAGTCGAGCTTACTCCGAAGTGTTCAATGAATCCCGAGTATGTTTTTAGACGAATCCTTCCGGTTGCAACGTAGATTATTAATGGACGGTTTCAAGGAACAAGTCCACGTACATTTCTGATGTCGACACTTGTAAAATTGCATGTTAGCGCAAGATCTCCGGAAAATAAAGGCTTAAATTAGTACCACAAGCAGAACCTGCGCCCATGTATAATTAGAACGATCAATGAATCGTGGACAAAGACTAACCAAGACGCAAGGACGCAGCGATCAGCTGTACAGCGCGTATCAGAATGTAAAAATAAACATGCCAGGGACGCGAAATCCACTGACAATGGGACACGTGAGCAGCCAGTTTCGTCGACTAACTGCAAGATCGGATGGGTCGATAAAGCTAAGGAATCAATAATGCGACATACGCATAAAAATCCGGTGAGCGAAGAAGCTTGATGACGGCAGGTTCAATACAACGGGAATTATCTCATGAGACGCCAGCCTACCAGTGAACTAAGAATGTTAAAAGAGCCTGTAAAAACCATCAGAAAGACTGCGGCAGAAGGCGTCAGGTGCACCATACTGTTTCCACGACGGTCACCTGTTGTTCCAATTATATCAGACCGAAACTCGATTTTCGGAGAATAACTTACTGCGATGCTCCTAGAGATGCACGACTCATCACTCAATATATCGCATGGTGAACGATAATAATTTAACTTCACCAAGGAATCACATCAGTTCTTTCAATATCGCCAAAGTGACTGATGAAGCAGTCCCAGATAGATATCCAGATAAAGGTGGTGTGGCATATATCAAGAAACCTGGAAAGTTGAGCCGGAGAATGTGCGGACGATCGGGGGCGTTTACCATATGATAAAAACCTGCTGGGAACGTAAGTATGGGCGAACCGAACATAAGTAGGAACTGGAGCCACTGACGAGGAGTTTGAATTTGAATAAATCGGCGGGGTAAAATTTATAGTAGAGGATCGTCTGGATAGCGACCGCGCCTGAAAATCTGCGACGAAGTAAATACCACCTAGTTTGGCAAGAGTGTATACGTACAAAGAGGCGCAGAGAGCACCAATTGCTACAGCTCCGTAAGTTTTGGCTAATTGAACAGACATTGAATAACAAGTGGGGCTCTACGACGAATAGGCGGTTGCTATCCTTAAATACGTCACAAGGCTGGGCTAAAAATATCTCTCCATGGGAAACCGGAGGATAAGATTGTAAGGTTTGATCCTTCTGAATGGGATCATGAAAGGTCGGCGATATGAAGAGAAAAGAAGAGGCTGAAAAGGTAGCGTACAGTACGAAGCTTCTGACCTGCAGGTGTATACGCGCGTTCATCGCTTCGGCTATCTTGCTGATATTACGGAATAATATCGAATGAGAAACGTGGACGTATGGGTCGCTCCCGGATCTACAAATTCAGCGATGTAAGCATGCCAGATCTGTTTTTCTTTGACTGAGCAAGGAGTCAAGAAGATTGAGAATGTGTCATTGGTCTTCATTTCTGTCACATTATTTTGGCTTCTGCTCGCCAAATTTCACAGGAGGAACAAATATCCACCGTGACTGCATTAATGAGCGGACTAAACGGCAGACGATGAATCGGGACTTACCGTGCGAAGTAACTAGGAACCAGCTCTCCTGATCATTCCAGCCATACACCCTCTTATGTGAAGTCGCTGAGCCTGATTCCGATTAAATCTGCTAGAGACAAATCGTAGAACGCGCCAGATGGAATAGCGGTGGATGTGGTTTGGATGGAAGACTTTGACAGGGATCGGCCCGATTGCCGAATTGATTGGGCCTTCCTATTTGGGACGCCGCCTTTCACCACTCAGTGACCCATGCGAACTGCAAAGTAGTATTTCTCCCGCATTCCTATCAAGGAATTGTCTGTGGGATGAACCAATTTATATCTACTGTGCATGAGCTCAATGTTTTCTCTGGCTTCTCACGTGAAAAATTCCTCTGCAGTTATGGTGTGAGTGTTCCTCTGATACACGAGGCGGAAACTGGCATCTGAAACGGAATGTAGGGCTACAGGAGTAGAGAAGATGTGGTACGTGCTCTGATTTAATTATGGTTCTGTAAATTATGCAAGTAGTGATGGGTTCGTGGCATTATCTCATGTGTGGGTCCGATACCCCATACAAGTTTCACTACAAAAAATGAATGTTCTGCGAATATATGAACCACTTGCAGTAACAGAACTAGCATCAGGTCGTAAAAAATGACATTGATACCGCCCATTATCAATGGGGTTACGTTAGCCTGCTGCGCCTGGATATCCAACCGTCATTCTACGGCGTCTGTCGGCATACAACACACATCATCAACGAATGGCAGGAAGACTTTGCCAGTGGTGCTGTGGCATAAGAAGGTTCTTCTTTGGCTCAGCATATTAATTCAAACAGCGGGAAGCAATAATACTATAAAGATAACGACTCCAGCTATATCTGAGTCGTTAGTGAAGACAAAAGAAATACGTACTAAATCATATATATCCGCCTATTATTCGGCCTGTGTTGATCCGCCACTGGGAGAAATAATTTTCCTAATTCTTTCGATCGGTAGCCCAGGACCTAAGATGGAACAAAACCAGCGATAAGTGCATGGCCCACTATCTTCTCATGCGAGGGAAGAATAATACCTATTTCCACTACTGTGCATCGAGTTCTATTTGTTTGCTTACTGGGATGTCATAAGAGCGCTTTATAATCTATTTACAGTAGATGTTCCGACCCAGCAGGGCCGTTTCTGGCCGGCATAGGATGTTGCTACTTAATCATACACCTTGAGAGTCGGAAAATCGTGACCAGCTGATAACCGTGCTCTCTTAGGACACGTCCTCTGCTTCTCCCCTTTGGAGGTATTTTCCTCTTGAACTGTATATCACGGGTCCTTCGGTTCCCCTCGTGTTCTTTTCACTTCTCTCCATGGGCCACCATACACACGACTTGCCTATGCATTGTCCCTTATCTAGCTCTGGACGCGCCTCAATTGCATGGATCTAGGAGTAAGTATGTAAGATCAGAAGCAACAGATGATAACCTGAAAGACATACTATGGCGAGCACAAAACAAATGGGGCGCATGAATTCTTGGTATTTCATTGTTTTCGAAAAAAAAAGAGCGCCCAATGGCAGGGTATTTATACTGCATTTAGAGTCGTTATATATCTCAGTCTACATCATGATTCAATCAGCATCTTTTTCTGTGGACAATAGGTGACCTATACCTCGACAGGGTTGTCATGGCGTGTGTCGAAGCGTACATGTACTATAATCGCCAAGAATATGTTACTAATCACTACAGTGTGTTATGAGGTATATGAGTAGCTGTAAGTGCGCAAGTGTAGGACCTCCTTCCAGTTGGGATGCCAGTCAGAGTTCCGATTTACGATCGTGTGTGGCACAGCCACATTATCTCCTTTTGGTGACTATCACGTCGAAAGCTCGCAAAACTAAGTACCCCTCGTGCGACATAATCACAAATACTCCTATCGTATATATGTTCCGCGAGTTTCCGATAGCACCTATTCTAGACAAGAAAGACGGATGATGAAAACGAGTTCATGTCAGCGGGATCAGGCGAGTAACGTAGCTGCTTACAACGACAAAATAGGGTAATTAGGTGATGTTCCAAAACCTTCGTATCTGTGCTCATCGACTGTTCCCCGGGATTTTCTTGCAGATGGCATTGTCCCTCATTCCGACGTTCAACTGCATGATTTCACACACATACAGTCAGCTTGGGACATGATTCATGCTATATCCAGTAGACAACGAGCACAAGCCAGTTCGTCAAAAAGGTCAATAAGAAACCGTATGATTACACGTACGTTCTCGTCACGCTAGTAAGCTTATCGTTCTAGATATACTGATATTGTTTCACATTGGCCATTCTTGGGGACGAGACCAATATCGAGCTGCACTCTGTCCATCGAATTTGGCAATGGATCAATGAAAGCCAATACTCATTCCTTTCGCACCCGGAAATCCTCTGCAAGTGTCTCAACGGCCGCGTCAATTGCCTAAATTATCAGCGCCCAAAGTCCAATATGTGCGTTCCCATGGAATTTCTCATTTGCGAGTACTGACTATGCAAATTTCCACCGATTCGAGGACTTGACGCACTTCTGATGGGTTGCACCCCATGTGCAGGGATAAAGGTGACGGGTTCTGGAAAAGTAGCACAGTCACTGGGAATGATGAGACCCACTGGTTCCGATTCTATGAACCCGCAGGCCCCAGTTGATGACATCGACCCGCATACAGCTACCGTCTACTTACTCTCCCCCAAACGGCTACCTGAACTATCGACAAGAACGCATTCATACGCGTGGCACTCGATATCATTCCTTGATTTAATCATATTTCTGCACTTCAACTCCCTTGGCCAAGTATTCATCGATTTTTAATGACTCCGTAAAATCCCCAGACCAATGATTCTCGTTTTCTGCCACGGATATCAGCACGCTATCGCACTACCTCCCTAATGACGATGTGCTTGGCCCTCCATTCGACTTGCCGTCGAATTCACGGATAATGAGGTACTGTGTACCATACGGTAAAACGCACATTGTATGATCTTCCTACGTTTATGAACTTGTCCATGGAGACCTGGACATCTTTTCTCCTCTGCTCATCGTCTTGACGTGGTATTACAACAATGGTGGAGTCGCACTTTTCGTTGATATAGGGATTTCATCCCGCGCGACATTAGTGTCAATTACTAACAGCACGTTCATGACGCTATCTAGAATCGCTTTCCATATTCACTCCCCTGCTCGTATGAACCCTCCTCCAGCATTGAAGCGCTCTCAGGAATCAAAAATCGAAGATATTCTACATCAAAAGTATTCAAAGTATCAACCGGATATGGTGCAATGGCAATCACTACATAGCAACACAAGGTTCAATTCCACGTATCTGGATACCAAAATCGGTTGCCAGTTTTTGTGATTTGTGTATGTTCCCAGAAGCACAGTATAATACCGATTCTCGCACGATTTCGGAGTCACGTTGTTCAGATGTGTTCCACAAGAAAACAGGGAGAAGGAGGAACGAATCATGACGACTTCAAGGTCACTATCCATCTATCGACGTGTTGATATAATACTGCACCGTTTCCGTGTGAGGGGGGGAACTTGCGTGGCTCCAAGCTCTGTACAGCATTCAATTACTATGGTGCACCAGTAAAAACCATTGACACGTCTGGGTTCAATTCGGTGTGCTTGAATTATTCTAGTTTCTTTGTCATGTTTTGCCTCTGTGTAAAACTGACACACTCGCGATCGTGATTCGGAAAGCGGTTTATAAAGATCGTTCAGACATACAATGATAAGGAGCAGGCGCTTGAGTTCAAGTCATGAAGGATATTCATTGAGCCCTTGAGAACAAAGTAAGATCAGTGCTGCCTGGAGGAAAAAACGGAACAACACGGGGCACGAAAAGGCATGTAGATATTCTTGTCCGTTAATGTCCTGGTCCTATATAAACGCATCCAGAGCCAGTTCTGTGTTATTCCAAAACAGCGATATATTACACATTCCCTCAGTTCAGAGTACTCGCTCCGCCCACCCCTTAATGCCAACGGTGTCGTTGAAGAAGGGTGAGCATCTGTACATTTCTATAAAAAGGTCATGTTACGGGAGATAGGAGACACGTGCAAGGAATCGAACCTTGAAAGATTCCGCTGACGGTCTTAACTGCTACACCAAACTCGAGTGTTCTGGGAGATGGGTGTTAATATTTTACAAATTTCCTGGTATAAATTTCGTCAAGCACACACTTGTATAAATAGCAACGCAAAGCGGTAGGTAGAATCAACGCGAAGACACAGAGCTGGCTTGCGCATTGGCAGATGATTGGCCTCAAAAGCCGTCCTGCTCGGGCCGGAATATCCGCGATAACGTGGGAACCTGCACTGCCCTTCTTTTTCAGCAACCACCATGATCAACCAAATCACGTCCCCCGGAGCGTTCCTACACCGCTTTTTCGTTGCAAGCAAGGTCGAGGATACGAAGTTGGACACAGGGTAGTCTAAGCAGTCCACAGGATCACGCAAGTAACGTATCCGTTAGAACATCGAAATAGCTAATTCATGATAGTCTGCAGGCCTTATCCTATCTATATCTGTTGATGTAACGAGTTGAACGGACTGTATGAACGGTACTGCGCTGCATCGACCTGCTTTCATGTGAAATTACGACAAGAACCCTGGTCTATTCAGTTTACTGTGAACCTCATTCGTCCCACAACCTGAGCGCTACGCCACAACTGAGACGTAACGGGACATTAACCACCTAATCAGTTATTGGACGTACATATATACTATTATCGTTCTCCTAAGCTCATTAGATTTACTCATTCCTTGGCAAATGCTGTTCTGTGTTTCGTTTCAGATATTCTCGACGCTGATTGATGATCCTGCTTCTCCGGTGGTCGACTTGAAATTCGTCAACCCTTGCATGATATTGACAGGTTCAAATACACGCCCACTCCTCATTTGTACCCGAGGTGTATTTTTGGGTATGTGCGAACATCATTACACTGCGGGTCACAGGTCACTCATTGTCTAGTGTGTATATGAAGGCACACCATCCACCGGTACTTTGCTTCCTGACCCACAATGCACCTACTCGACCTCCCACACGAATTGCTCTCTCTTATCGTCGACTTCATGGACTGCAAAACCCTCCTCTCTCTCTGTCTTACAGAGAAGCACATCCTTTACGGTATTGCACATCGACTTCTCCAACAGACCGTCACCGTCGTCTTTAACGCCACCACCCAGAAATACTCCCCCAACATATTTTCCTTTGATTTCCGGCGCCTCTCAGCTATCACATCCCTCTCTATACACATCACAGGACCCTTCGATTTTCATCTCGCATCTGCATCTTTTCCCCCGGTATTCACGAGCATGATCAATATCAAACACGTTCATGTGAGCGGCGGATCGGGTCCATTCATTCGCATGATCCTCGAGAATACCATGGCATCTCTCGTCACTCTAGAATTGAACGGCTGTAGTGCGGATCCACAGGACTTTAGTGAGATGATGCCCATCACTATTCGGAAGCTGTGTATATCGCGGTGCGATCCTAATGTGCGATTCCTTCTGGGACCTCTCAGTGTTGAAGAATTGGAAGTCCATGGTCTAGGTTCGTCTCTCTATATCTCGCCTCATTGAAACTGATGAGCTCAATTATAGGGATGGATGGCGAATGCATGTGTATCGGCGTCACCTTACGGCGACTGACAGACGCCCATCTCAATACGCTCAAAAGAATATGTCTTGTTAATATATGCAGGGATGCGGGATGCCGTGATGTCCTGCATTTGATGCGCGTTTTGGAGGTAAGCCCCATTTGTTCTACCTATTATGCAGAGCTAATACGTCTGCAACACAGACCCGCTCGGACAGTTTCTCATCACTGAAGGGGCTCGTTTTAGATTTCCCACTTCCTGAAGATATCATTCCAAAGCTCATCAAGGCGATGTCTGCCTTTCCCGTCCTTAAGGTCTTTCGCATCGTCTCCTGTACGTTTGAGGACGGCGGAGCTAGTAAGGTTCTCCCGTTTTGAATATAGAGCGGTACAACGAAGAATTTGGACGCTCGAGGGTTTATCACATTGCGAGTAGGACGCGTCATCGGATTTGGTACCGTGTGTGTGGCGCATTGAATATGAATCTATGGTTTGAACAGTAGGTGATACTCTTGACAACATTCACCCTCAGCAAGCTGAGATTTCTTTCTATGCAGCTCTCTTAGGCTCGATAAATCCACACACCATTTTTATTTACTTTTGGGTTGCTTGACGATCGGTTTGTAGGATACAGAGTCTGGCCGCATCGTGATTCGTCACGGTTTTGGTAACTCTTAAGGTTCATCTATTTACTCTAACCTCGGTGATTTATCGCTGACAACTAGTCGTTCCAGAGACGATGATCCAGCTCTAATAAGATCAGTCCCGGATCGAGAGTAGCTACCAAAGTCTGTGTAAAACGTCTACACCTTGTGTTATGGATATTGGGTATCCGTTGATTCGGTGCATGAGTCAACATATGCCCATACTCGGCCTTCTCGGTCTTAATACTGACTCGCTCGTACTTTCTATTACTTTCTCTATTCTTCGTACTGATACTAGAATATTATAGAACATTATAGAATAATAATGACTCGAACCTGTCCTTAGTATATAAACTTGTAGATAACATTGTATTAAAAAGCTTCTATCAATCTACTACTTCCAGTACCCTCACACTGCGTGAACCCTCAGTTACGCCTAGCGCTTGCTGAACAACCCATTGGATACGCCTAGCGCTTTCCAATACCAATCCGAAGGTTACGCTTAGCGCTTGCCTTCACCCACGGCCCGTAATAGCTTCGCGCTTACAGGCCTTCTATATCGGTAATTGCTCCGCGCTTACCGGCTACTTCCCTCAGTAATTGCTTCGCGCTTGCTGATTTCCTTTATTTCGCAAACTGGACCACTCAGGTCTCCTCACGAACCCTCGCCGGAATCCAATATATTCTCTAACGACGTACATCATTCCTAATTAATCTTACCTCACTTCGATCACTACTCCTCGCCTCGTGCTCGCATATCCGGATTTCGGCAGATCCATAACATTGGTGGACACATTGGGAACTGAGTATAGGTTCCCGTTTGTTATACCTCATTGCTTGCGAAGCAACGTAGCTTGTACCACTTTGTATTCATCCCCTTTGGCTAAAACAGTTGTTCTGAAATGACCTGGCCAAAATCTTCATTCAGCCCTGACCCCGGTGGGAAATGTCATTCTTGCCGTGCCTGCACTTTCCACAACATGACTCGCCATCAGGAACTGTTTGCTCCCTCCTCTCGGGAAAGGCATACTTGCAGCTCTTTGAATGGTTTGCCCATCAGTCGGACTAATACCAGAAAGAAGCAGTTGCGACGCTCAGATGAAGAATACAGTACTCTCCAAATGAAGCTTCATCCTTTCGACGGACCATTTTCATATGGAACCTTTCACAACGACGAAGAATTCCCTGTTAATATGCGAAACGCTATCTGCACATCCATCCCATCTTTTGAGCTTACACGATCTCCAGCACTCATATCTCGCAAAAGGCGAGCTCTGAGAATACTGAAGAGCAGCTTGAATGTTGACCTCGGACCTAGTCATGCACTTGAAGTCACTTGTGACCAGTATGAGAAGACATTCCGATACGAGTTCGAACTCCTAGAAAGGCTATTGAGACAGACATGGGCCGTTCATATATCAAACGGCAACCTGGGAGTGCGCATCGACTCATCAATCTTCTCCCAGTTACAAGCTGCACTACAACGGCGAAAGCGGGAAGCCAGCCATTCACTTGTTATACACAAGATAGATCTTAATTGTCCTACTTGGGGCCAGGATATCCGCCTTTTTATGACAGAGAATGACTTCGAATTGTACGCCCTCTGTTATCGGGTATCTGTTGAGCATTTTCTGGCAGAAATGGATAATCAGCACGATTGGGAAACCGGAAAACCTTGGCCCACACTTGACGAATGGAGAAAGCATGGCCGAAATCTGACTCACTCAATGCAGACGGTAGCAGAGAAATCAGAACAACTGAAACCCTCAGCCGTCGGACACCATCCTCAAAGCAAAGTGAGCGAATCCTTATTCTCACTCAAGCATAGCCCCGTTCAACCATCAGCGAAGATGCGGGAAATGGGATTCCTGGATAGTCCTTGCAAAATATCCATGAAGGGCGAGACTGAAAGTAAACACCGGCCACAATCTCGACAATCGGCTAGCGGTCCCAACTTCAATGATGAGACTTCTGGTGGTCATAATAGCAATAGGGAATCGAAGGATCTACCTTCCTCTTGGCGATACACAGGGCTAAGCCTTGAAACCGAAGACAATCAATTTGTTGCTTCGAGTAAATCAGCTCTGACCCTTTCATCTGCGTATTTCCAACGACCTGCAAGCCGTACTGTTGGTCCTTGTGACTTGAATGCAATGGCTGCGAAGGAAACCAAGCCTGAGGTTGCTCCTCACAAGTCTCACTTATATACAGATCTGCGAAGAGATGATGGTCACTCAGGAAATGTACGAGACGTGAATCCGACTCATCTGCCTATGAAACCTCAGCCACCTAAAGGTCTCGCTAACAGATCTCTTGAAATATCCCTCACAACTTCGACGCCTCCTCCCATGCTGAAGGTTCCTTCCGCCATTGGTTCGAAGCCGTCGAAAGGGGGAGTGAATCAGTGTATATTTCCAGAAGGAATTGTGGCTCAGGCACAGAAGAGTGAGACGGAAGCTACAAAGGATGATAACCATACCATACTGAAAAGATCGACACCTACGGGTCAAACTGCGAACTCCCGTTCAACTATGAACCGTATCGATGAGCCAGGAGACGTTTCATTCAAGGACATAATGAGGGACGAAGGACGGCCTCAATCCCAGCATAATCATGAATCTGCCAACATTCCCGAGCTCGGCAACGAGACTTCCAATCGTCGTAATACTAGCAACTGTAATCTGGAGGATGTGCCTTCCTCTCTGAGATATACAGGACGAAATCTCCAAACCGAAGACAATCAATTTGTTACTTCGAGTAAGTCAGCATCGGCACACCTTCAATCGGCTGCGAGCCACACCTCCGGTACTTGCAACCTCGCCGCAGTAGCTGCCATGGAAATCAAGCCGGCAACTGCACATCATGATTCTCAGCTGCATACAGAACTGCAAAATGACAGTCAGTCAGCGAAATCATGCAACGCAATCCCAACTCACCTGCCTCCTAGACCTAATTTCCGGCCACCTACAGGCCCCGGTAACGGATCTCTTGATACCTCCCTCGTATGTTCAACAAATGTTCCCACGAGCATTACCATGTCGAAACCTCATCTTGCTGCCGGATTCAAACCATCGAAAGGAGAACAAAACCAGTACATACTTCCGGAAGCCGATACGACTCGAGCACAGCAGAGCAAGAGGGATGCTATGAAAGAACGGAACTGTATGGCACCGAAAACACCGAAACCCGTGTGCCAGATAGTCGATTCCATGGAGGGGAAACTCATTGTAGCCCGAGCCGGAAAAGAGAAGAGGCTAAGTCGAAAAATGAGACGGGCTTTAGAAAGAGAACAGAAAACGCGCAGGGAGCCAGAAGCAGCATTCTCAGAAGTCTCGGTAACTGGACAGGAGTCAACTGAACGGCTCGGAGATACCACACCAGGTACGGATTTCGGTGCAGTATCTTTGCAGCACAGGTTTCCGGAGAAAACTGAATACGACCAATTAAGTCAGAATACTCAACTGAAAGCCTGTTCAAATGACGCACCCGGTTCCATTATTGTCATTCCTGTCACCATCCTTCCAACTCTCGCTTCCGAAAATGCTCAAGCGAGCCTGTTCGTGCATTCAGGTGTTGCGCTGCCGGATATTGATCCATGTGATGGCATAGTTGAACAACATAATGACAAGACATCGGAATCGAAAGCAAGAAGGATAATTGTGGAAAAAGCAGCTTCCACAAGTAGCAAAATATGTGAGTCGGAAGGAAACCAGCACGTCGGGCCAATAAGGGGACTTGAAGATCAGATTTGGGATCCGGGTTTAAACATGCGATGCGAGGTCCAAATCAGGATCACATTGAATATCAACGAAGGAAAGAACGAAGGAACATCGAATCAATGCCAGAACCTAGACGCAATCTCGAGAGTAAATGGATTAATCGCGGAATCGACGAGACGGCGATATCAAGGGGCCCATCATCAATATCATCCCTATTTTGGAAAGGGTTCCCAGGAACCGGCACACGCCGATTCCCAACTTCGCCGCATGAAGTCTTGGCCCTCTTGGGCTCCCTCTAATCGCATGTCACCCGAACGACATCCTGACGTCTCTGGCGACAGAAACCATTTCGAAGTTACTGTAAAAGTTGACTCACGACATTTATCCGCAGATTCACTTGCAGTGCCAGATCAAGCTCAAAATGCGAATTTCAACCTAATCCTTGACTCATCTGGCAGCGAGAAGTCTGTACGCAATGAGATTCCCGAATTTGATGAACCTTGCCCTCCATATGTGCAGGGTGTGGGATAATCTTTACTTCCATGTGTTCGAAGTTACAGTTGTGACCGACAACCACGGAACATTCAAATCCATAAGGTTTGCTTTTCTAATTCTTCAATTTTTCTTTCCCTTTGCCTCATTCAGGCATATGTAGACTGGGGGGGCTGTTATGGATATTGGGTATCCGTTGATTCGGTGCATGAGTCAACATATGCCCATACTCGGCCTTCTCGGTCTTAATACTGACTCGCTCGTACTTTCTATTACTTTCTCTATTCTTCGTACTGATACTAGAATATTATAGAACATTATAGAATAATAATGACTCGAACCTGTCCTTAGTATATAAACTTGTAGATAACATTGTATTAAAAAGCTTCTATCAATCTACTACTTCCAGTACCCTCACACTGCGTGAACCCTCAGTTACGCCTAGCGCTTGCTGAACAACCCATTGGATACGCCTAGCGCTTTCCAATACCAATCCGAAGGTTACGCTTAGCGCTTGCCTTCACCCACGGCCCGTAATAGCTTCGCGCTTACAGGCCTTCTATATCGGTAATTGCTCCGCGCTTACCGGCTACTTCCCTCAGTAATTGCTTCGCGCTTGCTGATTTCCTTTATTTCGCAAACTGGACCACTCAGGTCTCCTCACGAACCCTCGCCGGAATCCAATATATTCTCTAACGACGTACATCATTCCTAATTAATCTTACCTCACTTCGATCACTACTCCTCGCCTCGTGCTCGCATATCCGGATTTCGGCAGATCCATAACATTGGTGGACACATTGGGAACTGAGTATAGGTTCCCGTTTGTTATACCTCATTGCTTGCGAAGCAACGTAGCTTGTACCACTTTGTATTCATCCCCTTTGGCTAAAACAGTTGTTCTGAAATGACCTGGCCAAAATCTTCATTCAGCCCTGACCCCGGTGGGAAATGTCATTCTTGCCGTGCCTGCACTTTCCACAACATGACTCGCCATCAGGAACTGTTTGCTCCCTCCTCTCGGGAAAGGCATACTTGCAGCTCTTTGAATGGTTTGCCCATCAGTCGGACTAATACCAGAAAGAAGCAGTTGCGACGCTCAGATGAAGAATACAGTACTCTCCAAATGAAGCTTCATCCTTTCGACGGACCATTTTCATATGGAACCTTTCACAACGACGAAGAATTCCCTGTTAATATGCGAAACGCTATCTGCACATCCATCCCATCTTTTGAGCTTACACGATCTCCAGCACTCATATCTCGCAAAAGGCGAGCTCTGAGAATACTGAAGAGCAGCTTGAATGTTGACCTCGGACCTAGTCATGCACTTGAAGTCACTTGTGACCAGTATGAGAAGACATTCCGATACGAGTTCGAACTCCTAGAAAGGCTATTGAGACAGACATGGGCCGTTCATATATCAAACGGCAACCTGGGAGTGCGCATCGACTCATCAATCTTCTCCCAGTTACAAGCTGCACTACAACGGCGAAAGCGGGAAGCCAGCCATTCACTTGTTATACACAAGATAGATCTTAATTGTCCTACTTGGGGCCAGGATATCCGCCTTTTTATGACAGAGAATGACTTCGAATTGTACGCCCTCTGTTATCGGGTATCTGTTGAGCATTTTCTGGCAGAAATGGATAATCAGCACGATTGGGAAACCGGAAAACCTTGGCCCACACTTGACGAATGGAGAAAGCATGGCCGAAATCTGACTCACTCAATGCAGACGGTAGCAGAGAAATCAGAACAACTGAAACCCTCAGCCGTCGGACACCATCCTCAAAGCAAAGTGAGCGAATCCTTATTCTCACTCAAGCATAGCCCCGTTCAACCATCAGCGAAGATGCGGGAAATGGGATTCCTGGATAGTCCTTGCAAAATATCCATGAAGGGCGAGACTGAAAGTAAACACCGGCCACAATCTCGACAATCGGCTAGCGGTCCCAACTTCAATGATGAGACTTCTGGTGGTCATAATAGCAATAGGGAATCGAAGGATCTACCTTCCTCTTGGCGATACACAGGGCTAAGCCTTGAAACCGAAGACAATCAATTTGTTGCTTCGAGTAAATCAGCTCTGACCCTTTCATCTGCGTATTTCCAACGACCTGCAAGCCGTACTGTTGGTCCTTGTGACTTGAATGCAATGGCTGCGAAGGAAACCAAGCCTGAGGTTGCTCCTCACAAGTCTCACTTATATACAGATCTGCGAAGAGATGATGGTCACTCAGGAAATGTACGAGACGTGAATCCGACTCATCTGCCTATGAAACCTCAGCCACCTAAAGGTCTCGCTAACAGATCTCTTGAAATATCCCTCACAACTTCGACGCCTCCTCCCATGCTGAAGGTTCCTTCCGCCATTGGTTCGAAGCCGTCGAAAGGGGGAGTGAATCAGTGTATATTTCCAGAAGGAATTGTGGCTCAGGCACAGAAGAGTGAGACGGAAGCTACAAAGGATGATAACCATACCATACTGAAAAGATCGACACCTACGGGTCAAACTGCGAACTCCCGTTCAACTATGAACCGTATCGATGAGCCAGGAGACGTTTCATTCAAGGACATAATGAGGGACGAAGGACGGCCTCAATCCCAGCATAATCATGAATCTGCCAACATTCCCGAGCTCGGCAACGAGACTTCCAATCGTCGTAATACTAGCAACTGTAATCTGGAGGATGTGCCTTCCTCTCTGAGATATACAGGACGAAATCTCCAAACCGAAGACAATCAATTTGTTACTTCGAGTAAGTCAGCATCGGCACACCTTCAATCGGCTGCGAGCCACACCTCCGGTACTTGCAACCTCGCCGCAGTAGCTGCCATGGAAATCAAGCCGGCAACTGCACATCATGATTCTCAGCTGCATACAGAACTGCAAAATGACAGTCAGTCAGCGAAATCATGCAACGCAATCCCAACTCACCTGCCTCCTAGACCTAATTTCCGGCCACCTACAGGCCCCGGTAACGGATCTCTTGATACCTCCCTCGTATGTTCAACAAATGTTCCCACGAGCATTACCATGTCGAAACCTCATCTTGCTGCCGGATTCAAACCATCGAAAGGAGAACAAAACCAGTACATACTTCCGGAAGCCGATACGACTCGAGCACAGCAGAGCAAGAGGGATGCTATGAAAGAACGGAACTGTATGGCACCGAAAACACCGAAACCCGTGTGCCAGATAGTCGATTCCATGGAGGGGAAACTCATTGTAGCCCGAGCCGGAAAAGAGAAGAGGCTAAGTCGAAAAATGAGACGGGCTTTAGAAAGAGAACAGAAAACGCGCAGGGAGCCAGAAGCAGCATTCTCAGAAGTCTCGGTAACTGGACAGGAGTCAACTGAACGGCTCGGAGATACCACACCAGGTACGGATTTCGGTGCAGTATCTTTGCAGCACAGGTTTCCGGAGAAAACTGAATACGACCAATTAAGTCAGAATACTCAACTGAAAGCCTGTTTCAAATGACGCACCCGGTTCCATTATTGTCATTCCTGTCACCATCCTTCCAACTCTCGCTTCCGAAAATGCTCAAGCGAGCCTGTTCGTGCATTCAGGTGTTGCGCTGCCGGATATTGATCCATGTGATGGCATAGTTGAACAACATAATGACAAGACATCGGAATCGAAAGCAAGAAGGATAATTGTGGAAAAAGCAGCTTCCACAAGTAGCAAAATATGTGAGTCGGAAGGAAACCAGCACGTCGGGCCAATAAGGGGACTTGAAGATCAGATTTGGGATCCGGGTTTAAACATGCGATGCGAGGTCCAAATCAGGATCACATTGAATATCAACGAAGGAAAGAACGAAGGAACATCGAATCAATGCCAGAACCTAGACGCAATCTCGAGAGTAAATGGATTAATCGCGGAATCGACGAGACGGCGATATCAAGGGGCCCATCATCAATATCATCCCTATTTTGGAAAGGGTTCCCAGGAACCGGCACACGCCGATTCCCAACTTCGCCGCATGAAGTCTTGGCCCTCTTGGGCTCCCTCTAATCGCATGTCACCCGAACGACATCCTGACGTCTCTGGCGACAGAAACCATTTCGAAGTTACTGTAAAAGTTGACTCACGACATTTATCCGCAGATTCACTTGCAGTGCCAGATCAAGCTCAAAATGCGAATTTCAACCTAATCCTTGACTCATCTGGCAGCGAGAAGTCTGTACGCAATGAGATTCCCGAATTTGATGAACCTTGCCCTCCATATGTGCAGGGTGTGGGATAATCTTTACTTCCATGTGTTCGAAGTTACAGTTGTGACCGACAACCACGGAACATTCAAATCCATAAGGTTTGCTTTTCTAATTCTTCAATTTTTCTTTCCCTTTGCCTCATTCAGGCATATGTAGACTGGGGGGGCTGTTATGGATATTGGGTATCCGTTGATTCGGTGCATGAGTCAACATATGCCCATACTCGGCCTTCTCGGTCTTAATACTGACTCGCTCGTACTTTCTATTACTTTCTCTATTCTTCGTACTGATACTAGAATATTATAGAACATTATAGAATAATAATGACTCGAACCTGTCCTTAGTATATAAACTTGTAGATAACATTGTATTAAAAAGCTTCTATCAATCTACTACTTCCAGTACCCTCACACTGCGTGAACCCTCAGTTACGCCTAGCGCTTGCTGAACAACCCATTGGATACGCCTAGCGCTTTCCAATACCAATCCGAAGGTTACGCTTAGCGCTTGCCTTCACCCACGGCCCGTAATAGCTTCGCGCTTACAGGCCTTCTATATCGGTAATTGCTCCGCGCTTACCGGCTACTTCCCTCAGTAATTGCTTCGCGCTTGCTGATTTCCTTTATTTCGCAAACTGGACCACTCAGGTCTCCTCACGAACCCTCGCCGGAATCCAATATATTCTCTAACGACGTACATCATTCCTAATTAATCTTACCTCACTTCGATCACTACTCCTCGCCTCGTGCTCGCATATCCGGATTTCGGCAGATCCATAACACCTTGAACTATAAATGCAACAGAGAACTCGCAGGTCCCATACATGGGGCGCACATTATTCTCGTGTAAAACGTGAACGAAGACTCACATGAACGAAACAAAAAATGTGCATTCCTAAACTCGTGTTCCACTGAACGTATCGGGCATGTCAAAGACTTCACGGTGAACCCGTGCCAAAACAGACTCGTGGAAAAGTAATTTCGAATATGGGGGAATCGAACCCATGGTAACTAAAGTATGTCCATTAAACCATAAACGAATGTGATATTGGGGAGTTACACGTTAACACAACAAGTATCGTATAGCCCGAACTGTGAATTTAATCTGGGGGATCAGATGAAATAACTTACGTGGTATGACGACCTGCCTAAAATGAATCATTCGCTATGGAAAGCTCTTACGTACCACCACGAGAAGGACATGGAGGAAGAAAGGTATACATTCCTGATACTAATAGCATTTTTCCTTCAGAAAAAGCGCGACCACTGAAGGAAGGGCAGCAGTTCGTTTCCAGATTTACCGTCCTTTTCACCCAGCAATCAAATCACTCCTTCCGTACATCGTTCACCAAGTATCTAGTTGGAAGCAAATGGTCTCAAACCTTATGCGCAGAACAAATTTTCGACGTGTCCTGAAACAAAATGTTTAAACTAAAGGATGAAGATCTCTCTAGGTATTTAGATATGGGGAGTCGAACCCCAAAGCACCACATGGAAGTGAGATAACATTGGCCACTACACCAGTATTCTGCTACCTTGCACTCTAAACTTATCCGTCTTCTACGCCGTCGCATGCCTCATTATCCCACAGCCATTCATCGAATGAAACCCTCTTCCTCCCGCCGAAAAATCTTTCCGGCAGTTTCCGATTAACCCGCATGCAAGATGAGTACCGCTCATCAGTTTCATTCTACTTCCATCGTTCGGACATGGTATAGCCTACATGCCATCGTGGCGTTTAGCAGCTACGGGGGTCGATTCCCCAATCTGAACTCCGAAATGAAGAACTCATTTCATATTTTTTTTGCTTCTTTCTTTATTCATAGCCCAGAGAAACGGCCTTACAATCCAATGGAGAGATTCGGCATGGGCGCTTATGTCCCTTGGCAGAAGCTTGATGTGGATACGTAACTGGGATACCACTGTAGAGTTGGAGGAGATGGCTGCCCACGATAGTTACAAAGAGATTCACGGGAGGAATGGTCGAGTCGGTGGATCTCAGGGCACTTCAGGGAGTAGGGAATGACGATGGGGTCAATGTAGATGCGGATAACAGAGGCGAGTGAAACTGAACGCATACACAGAGAGGTAGCGTGAGAGGAGCAGGCGGGTCGTTCAGATACGCCTTCTTGCACTTGGAAGTGGTTGGACGAGGGTTATTTGTTCCCTCCATCCACCGTGTATTGACCATCTACCACGACGCTCGACAGTTCCATGGCGCGTACAATCAGGTCGTAAGTGATAGAAAGGTATGCTAAATGGGGGATTTGTGCTGAGCATTTCTGGGTAACCAATGAGCGCTCGATGTAATACAGAAAGAAACGCCAGACGCACCATATTCCTGCATGCACGTGTCAGAAGTTCCTTCAATTAGCCCACGACGCGCTATCCACAGTTACCGGTCGCATTTCCCAGTACACCTGTGCTGGAATGGCGGCATATATGCGCCCTCCCATCGATTCGGCAGAGGAGGCCGGGGCCGAGGCCATTCGAAATGCAGTTGTAAGGAAATGAAGACGGAGAGTTTCAAGAAGGGACGGGAAGTCGTGACGAACGATGGTGGCGGAAGGAGAGCATCATCGGCAATTTCCGGCTCTGTTTGCATTTCGTCTCTACCACTTCACCCGACCCATGTTCCCGTAACTATTGACCACAACGAAGCTAGTGACATTCATTTCCCTCGTTTGCTGTAGCACCACATGGAGCTAATATTGTGACCTGGTTCTTTGTCGCGACTCGCTTCTGGACATCGCGCCCCTGTCTGCATTCTCTGCACCGGTATCTAAGAACCTTCTCGCGCTATTACCGAACCGTTTCTGCTGCTCAGCATATCATCATCTGTAAACATGTATTCGTCTCTCTGTAGTGTCGGAATTCCATTATGACGGGGTTCTCTAACGAAAAGCACAAGTTATTACAGCTCCACCCGCATTAGCAGAACATGACCTTGTTTACACCCCTCGTCCCTTCTCAAAGCGAAGAAATCGATATATTTTGGCGGTGATGGTGAGTACGTAGCCCCAGTTCGACTTGTTATGATTTCTTGGGGATGTCTGAATAATCACAGTGAGGAGAACTCGCAGTGTGAGGGTCAGATGACGTTTCGTTATGAGATGATGTAGTCACCATGTGAGGTTCGAGTACCCATATTAGAGTGAATGGCCAGAAGTGCGTACATTCTTTTTTTTTCCATCCAAGGACTGCGTGTCATTGGGCATTGACAACCGAGCCTTGTCACGAAACCGGACACATTGAAGGAATGACGCAGTTCGTCTCAGGATTCCACATCCTTTCAAGAGGGACGGATAATACAAGCATTCTATGACCCGAAACCGAATACAGGGTAGTTAATCCAAAGCAACCACGTACCCGTCAGCGATTTCCTCTAGCATGGCATGACATGGTTGGAAAGAAAAATTTATACACTCAAAAGCGGAAACATTTCCCCATACTCAGATATAGGGAGTTGAACCCCAAATTACCGTGTGGAAGTGTTTCCACTACACCAGTATTCTGCTACCTAAGAATCAAAATATGATCTGATCCCCAAGGTTGACCTTCCGATGAAATCAGTGCATAATCATAACCATGGGAAGAGATTGTTGGTGAAATGGAAAGAGGATTTATTTCTGCCACGATAAGTAACCACAATCCACCTCCCCTCAATCTCCCACGCTGTCGCCTGTCTCATTATCCCAATGCCATCCTGCACTACGCTTGAATCATGTCCTCTTCCTCTTCTGAAAAGTTATTTGAGCAAGGCCACACGGAGGATGACTGAAAACAGAACCTCAAAGGGTATCACTTCTCATTCTCATTCCATATCCATCGTTCGGACATGGCATAGCACACACGCGGCATCTGCAGGGGTTCAAATCCCCTATTCGAACTTATGTTGATATTGTATGAGATTATTTCTTGTTTTCTTCTTCATTGCCTTGCCGCCTCAGGGCCAGGTCCCGGGAATCTCATATGTTTTGTGGAACGTTTTCCGAGACCTCTGCGATTAAGCATTAGAATTCTAAGCTTCAGCTCGACGGTGCAAAGCCATATATTCAACAGCATACATCCACTCTTTACCTTCATTAGATACCCATTCCGATATAGTCTGAAGGATAACACTGCCTCCCCAGTTCAGGGTTCGAGTCCCAGTATCCGAATTCCTGTCTATGAAGCCTTCAAGCAAATTTTTGTGCAAGTAGAAGAGCGTGTGCTTTCTGTCTTGCGGCCAATTGAAAAGTGGTTTCTACTTTGCTCTCTTCCCATGTCCATCATCGTTTGATCGTTACAAGAATACATGCCAATAAACAGTAGCGTCGGGTTGGAAATGCATGTGAGTCGCTCCCTGTGTGATCAAGAGACTCGCTCATATGACTGTGGTTCTTCACAAGTGACTCTGCATAGACCACTCTGTTACCTGGTACCTACCGTATCGTTTTCACATGCTTGGATATGGCGTAAAGGCTAACATTGCCTGAGAAGCTGCAGGGTTCGATTCCACATTTCCGAATGTTGTCCTACAGCAAATTTTTATATGGGCGGAAATTACGCAGTCGAGTACAAAGATGAATTCACAATTCATGACCATGATGAACTGGCCATTTATTTCATTTTGTCCCACTGCTGCGTTTCCGAAAATCTCTCTATCCTTACGCACATAAACACCCATATAGCCCTCCACACCGTTTCCGTCGCTCGCCCCAACATCAAGCGTATAATGTATAGGTACCGTGAAGCGGCCTCTAATCTAGGCATGATGGTATTCATAGGTAGGACCATGCGAGGTGAAATGGAACAGACAGGCTTGGATATGCATGTGTCCGTTCTTCGACAGCAGCTCATCACTGGGATGACGGAGGAAGCAGTCCGTGAAGGCTATGTAGGAAACCCTTCTCCATAGAATAGATTTTCAGTTATCTCAAGTTTACGTGGAAGCTGTATTTCGATGCGTCCTAAAACAAAATTTATAGACTAAAAGACGAAGATATCTGTTGCTATTCAGATATAGGGAGTTGAACCCCAAAGTATCACCTGGAAGTGCGATAACGTTGGCCACTACACAATGAGTCTGCTACCTTTCAGGACCTAGGGACAAAACTTATCCATCCTCTGCACAGCCGCCACCGTCTATTTCATTAACCTACCACCATCCCTCGATTCAAGCCCTGTTCTCTCTTCCGAAAAGTCTTTCGGGAAGTTTCCAACTAAACTACATGGTGACGCAAGACGGGTACTACTTGTCAGTCCCATCGTTCGGACATGACATAGCCTGCATATCTAGCAGCAGGGGTTCGATTCCCCACGTCTGACCTTGGAGTAGAACATCGCTTCCCATTTGTTGTTGTTTTTTTTTATTCACAGCCCAGGCGGTGGTAATCATGGAACGTCCACCGACTCCCCATGCTTCAGCTTAATGGTACAAAGTCATACTCACCTTGTATTTCAGCACATATGATAGGATTTACTCATAATTTTTCCGCTCGTAGATAGTCTGAAGGTTAACACTGCTCCCCCGGTTCAGGGTTCGATTCCCAGTATCGGAATATCGATGTCATGTTACAGAATTTTTGCGCAACACAATTGAAGAAACAAAAGATTTTCTCTCTTACACTGTTTGTAGGAGCCTCCTCATCGTCTAATATAGTCCTAACATCGAGATTTTGCACCCTTATGAAAGATGTCTGTCAATCGAAGACTTTCCAATGAACAGCAGGAATTCACATCGTCCGAATGGAATCCCATCCCTTAGCATTGGGTAAGGGACGCTTGTGGCGTATTCGCTAGAGTGTACGGAAGATAGGGGTTCGATTCCCTGTACCCCAATAAAATCAGGCCAAATACAACAAGTTTTGCCCCACAGACGAGTGCACATCACGATCCATGCACACTGGCACTGACACCAGTTTCTCTTGGAAGAACAAATGCATATTACGTAGGTATTATATTTCTCTTCTCCGCTTACTCTCTGTCCCCACGTCGAGGACACATCCTGCACGAGAGAATTCCTCGTCGTCCCACAATATCTACCATTCCCTCCACACCGCAAATAAAACGTATGCACCCACATCCTTCCCACATCATACCCCCTTTTTCTATCCCTCGTGCTACGTGCAGGAACCCGGAAACCTACACATGACGTTATTCGTACGGACGGAGGTAGGATCCCATAGAGGAGAATAGGCTTCAGGCCGAAGAGTCATCCAATCAACAGAGAGATTTGGTGTGGGCGCTTCTATTCTTCGGCAGAAACTTGATGTGGATACGTAACCGAGATCCCGTCATAGAACTGGAGGAGGAAGCGACCCGCAATGGCAATGAAGAGATGCACAGGAGGAAGGGTCAGGTCGGTGGAGTTCAGAGCATATAGGGAAGCAGGGAATGAGGACGGGTCAAGGTAGATGCGGACAGCGGACGCGAGTGAAACTACGTGCATTGACAGAGCGGCGACGTGAAAGAAGCATGCAGATCGCTCCGGTACGCCTTTTAGAAAGCAGTCGCACGTCTGTGAAGCAACGATTACTCTTCAAAGCAAGGGATATTCGCTCCTTCCATCCACGGTGTATCGACCATCTGAGTCAGTGCTCGACAATTCCATGGCGCAACGATTGAACAGAGGATAATCAGAATAAGGACGACGGTGACGCGTACAATCAGGTCGTAAATGGGCGAGGAGAATTCTGCGTTCGACCCTTGCGTGCGTGCGTTCAACTGCGTTTGAATGCGTTCAACTCGGATGCGTTTGCGTTCCTTCGATGCGTTCACATGCGTGACCCGATAATAGTTACTGTACCTTCAAGAATAATACTATCATGTGTATTTACATGGCGCACTTACCTACTTTTGATGTATTTCCTGGACATGTATTGGCAGCTTTCTATGACTTAGAAACAGTGTGAGACTATCTTGGAAAGCCATAAAGGCGTTGATTTTGTTGTAATATGTCTTAGAACATAATCCTCCTACTTCAGTATCATTTCGTGTTGAAATAGTTGTGAACCCTTGCATTTTTTGGACTTTTGGTAAACCAAACAACTTGTGTGCACCTCTCGAATCGACGCAACTCACTTACGCAACTCAAAAATAAGTCACGCATGCGTTAATAAATCGAACGCGAGCGTCATTGTAATAAACGCACGCGTTGCCCAAACTAACGCATGCGTTCGAGACAAAACGCAAACGAGAACGCAAATGTGACGATGGTTGTGATGGCGTGTCACATTTGCGTTAGGCTGCGTTGAACTCGAGTTGAACTGTGGTGGCTTCTCCCGTTGCACTTCATATGTGCTCGGCTACATTCTCCAAGCTTAAGAGCGATTCTCCAATGGATTCCTGCTGTATATATCTCAATATAATCTGCGGAAACCTACCAAGATTTAGCTGAGACCCCTTGAACTGGTTCTCTTTCCTCCGATCTGTTTATATTGCTCATACTATTTTCATACCTCTAACATAGTCCAATATCCATGGAAGCCCTCGAGGCGTGTCTTCTGGAGGGAAATATCCACA